GCTCTTTCAAGTTCTGATCCAGTTCTGCGAAAAAATTTACAAGACCTCGAAAAATTCCTTGATTTTCTGATTCTTCAATTTCATCATGACCGCGCAGAGCAAGCTCAAACATCCCACAGAACTTTATACAATCAATTAATATCCCTAAGATATGACGGTTTTGTTTTACTTGCTCATTATGTAGGACAATGCTCGCAGGATATTCCGAATTTATTTGACATGCAATATCTACCTTACCCAAAAGAGCGTATTCGACGCAGTTGTTGATGTGTCTTTGACAAGATTTATGTTTCTTTACCTTTTGCGAAAGATGTTTAATATCTTTTACACCTTCTCTAATCCAAGAAGAATCACTTCTAGCATTGTTGATTACTAAACACACATATCAAAAAAACGCATTATTTGTCGCACATCCACATAACCACTCCGCGAGTTGATAATTATTAAAATTAAATTTTCGAGTAAATGTCTTCTGTGTCTTTTTCGCTGTCTCGCTTTGTTCAATGTTTAGAGAAGGCCGCGGTGCACCAAGAGCTTTTAATTCAATTTTAACGTCGCGGGTTAGTTTATTGTCACTGATTAAACTAATAATATTTGAGACAGAATTCATTTTGTCATAATGAAGAAATCACACAAAAGTTAACGACCACAGTCGCCACTTAACCGATAACAATAAATATTTTGTCTCCGGCTCTCTCAGCTGATCAAAACACACCAAGTCGGTTGTGAGATTATAGCCGTCCCAGCTGTATTACCTGATGTGAAAATGTTGGGTAAAACCGCTACTCCTTCCACGGCTGAAGGAATAAACACGTTGGGCAATTCTATGAAAGCCGTCCGTATATAAATAAATTATAAAAACGTTATGCTTAGCTAGTAAATGGACTGATTCACTGAATAATTAAATGAAAGTAAACGAACATGTACTAAATCATAAGAAATTAGATTAAATGAAACAGAAAATACATTTCTGCTATTTTTATATATCTTTTTATGTCTCTAATTTTAGGGGGGCACTGCCCCACTGTCCCCCCTGCACCAGCCCCCACTGCCCATACATGCATTAAACACCTTCAACACATACTCCGGAACAGTCTCCCACACAAGCGTCATCATTTCAGGCGTCACATCATCCATTCCCGGCGACCTCTTCTTCCTCATACTCCTCACGCTCCTATCAACCTCATCATAATTCACTCTCTCCACGACACCCTCCACCCTTTCATATAATTCATAGTTCACGGGAACGTCAACTGGGAAAAGTCTTGGTACTCGACCCTGCACTTCTCGTTTCCTTCCAAATTCCTCTCTCGTTTACGAATCAACTGCCATTTTTTTTGTGCTTTCGCAACTCGACCTTCTAAATTTTTTAGATGCTCGATCCACCAAGCTGCTCTTTTATCCTTGTCTTTAACAAACCTTTCTGTCGCCTTGTCCATAGCAATGCAGATCCATCCGTGTAGGCTTTCTAGCTGCTCCCTACCCAGGAGTCTCGCGAAGCTTTCAGGACTGGTCATATAGACCTCCCTTCCCAATTCCGATTTGAACATCTCCCAGTTGACGTTAACCATGGACCACCCTCTCCTCTTTTTTATCTTCGCTTTGAACTTCCCCCGCACACTTTCCACACCGATCAATATACAATTGTGGTCACTCACACCCCAGTCTTCCTTAACCTCCCACGCGTCACACATAAACCTCTCCAACCAGCCACCATTCACTACCGTAACGTCAATTCCCGACTCTCCCATCAGCCCGCTAAAAGATCAGATGGTCTGTTCAGAACCTCCAAGTCCAGTTCCCCAATTAATTCTTCCAATTCCCGACCCCTCCTCTCACTCTCACGACCTGTCCTCACATACTTACTATACCATAGGCATTGGCGTCCATACCTATCACCATCGTCTTTCCCTCACATCCAACCACCACCTTCCTTATCCATTCCAAATACGGTCCAATCTCATCCCCATATCGACAATACAAGGACGCCACACCCATACTCACAGTCTATATTCACACATACTCCCAAATTTTGATCTTCCACGGTTATTTGTACAGCATCCATACCTCTATCATCTATCTCTATCAACACAGCAGCGGACACATACACTCTCATATCATCAGGCACACCAACAACCCGGCCCTCTCTTGCATACGGTTCCTGCAACAACACCACCCTTATATCATTCTCTCTCATACATACCCCTATGTCACACCTCACACTAGAACAACCCTGACAACTTGCGTGCAAGATTTTAAGGCCTATAAATAAATTTCCTGGCTGCACTTAGCTGCTGTACAAATATCGGGCACGTACTGGAAAACACCGAGTGGCCAAATTCCTTACCCGCTACCTAACAACTCCTACACTGGTCGATCGTCGCCTTACATTGTTTCCCCACATGCCCCTGTTCCCCATATTTCCTGCAAACCTTATTTCTGATCTTACAATCAAACGCACCATGACCGTATCCATAACAGTTATAACACCTCAACATATCGACCCAATCTTCCCGTTTGAACGAATGCCAGCCCATACACCCTACCCTGGTCCAAAAATACCTCCATAGCCTCAATCACATTTTCGAATTTTTGACTTATCTTACCTGTTCCTGCTTGCCCGATCCGCTTCCCTACAATCCTAACACTGTCCCCAAACTGTTCCTCGACCATCTTCCCCACGAAATTTTTCCGATATATCGACTCAGCCAATTCCACAGGTACATCATACCACATAATCCTAAATCCTCTCCTTTTCACATCTTCCGTGGACCAGTTCGGGTTTGTCTTAACCACCTACTTTATCATCTCTATCTCCTCCTTACTCTTCGTCTCAATTATTGCCCACCACTTCTGTTCCTCCTTACTTTTTCCACTCTCACGTCTACAGCTATTTTATTAACTTTCTCTCTAATCTTATCCCCATCTTCCTTAGGAAGCTTAGACTGCACCATAACAGAATACGTTTCCTTCCTTCTTGGCACTTCCTTACTATCTTGCCCAGATCTAGCACATCCTACAACTTCAGCGTACGTCTTCCTATTTGTCGATTCCAGTTCTTTAATCTTTCCCTTCATAAAACTGTTCGCAACCACTAGCTCCAATGCTATGGTCTCCATCTTGCCCCAAAATCCCAACACCTGATCAATCATCCCCTTGCCAACTCTGCGCAAAAGAACAGCCACCATTGGGAAGAGCAGTGGGAACAAAAACTCGAGTCCTTGAACACCGAGGACCATTCGACCTGAAAAATGCCCAAAGCGCTGAAAAGCGATCCACAGCGCGCACAACGGCATCGTTTTCACAGGTAAGGACAAAGCTGCCGCCTTCGCAGACTGGAGAACCAATGCCATACGAATATTGACCCCGACGCAGACGACGAGTACATGGACCTCATCGAAGAAACCGTAGAAAATCTTCGACAGGAAGAATCAGACAACGACGAACTCATCCGCGAAACCAATCCCGACGAACTCCGAACGGTCATCCAAAGCCTCAAGTCGAGGAAAGCCCCAGGTCCCGAACAAAGCACTGAAAAACCTGTCCGAAGAGGCCATCGTCGCCTTGACAGGTATTATTAACGCAATGTTGAAATTTTGTTTCTTTCCAGGTAGACGGAAACAGGCCAATATCATTTTCATTCCGAAACCCGGGAAAAATCAGTCTCCCAAAATCATCCCCCCATCAGTATTCTTTCTTCGGTGGGAAATATCGCTGAAAGGGTCATTTCTGGAAGCCCACACTTTTTGTGTCCCCATAGGCCACACTTTATCAGCAGAACATCCAATAAGCGCTGGAATCCCCCAAGGATCAGGACTGTCTCCCCATGTTCGGCTAGGACATCCCCTGGCAGGGCAAAACAAAATATCTCGGGTCTTCATTGGCAAAAATCTCAGTTTCATTCTTCACATTGACTATATTATAGCCAAAACCAATGGAATCCAAGGCGTCCTGGCGCCACTAATGGGCAGACGCAGCAAGATGTCGATCAAGAGCAAACTTCTTCTCTTTCGAACAATCATTCGTCCCACTATTTCTGATGCCTCAGTAGCCTGGAGTTACGAGTTTTCCAAAATCCAACTTCATCGTTGGAAGTCCTCCAGACAAAAATTCTCCGACAAGCTTGCAGGCCCCTGGTTCGTCAGAAACAACCAGATTCTTCAGGAGGCCAACAACCCTTTGGTCCGAGAAGCTTTTTTCTCAGTTTCAGATCTCCAGGCGTCAGCAACCGTGAGGAAAAGCCTCTGTCTCTACCCAAGAAGTGCGATCCGGGTGAAAGGGACAAAATTCCGGTATCCAAGCAGAAGAAAGGTGGGATTTGAGGGTGGTAAGCAATTTTATTGCAATCTCTAAGTGCCATGAAACGTCGGGAAAACATGAAATAAGCCATTCACTTGTTGGAATTTTACCCTCGGAAAATAAATAAAGTTAAATAGAAAAACGTATTCGCAAGTGACTAACAAAACTAAACAAAAATAAAACTAAAAAAACTCCAGTTAGACGTAAATAATTCATAAAATAGTAGCAAAACAATAATTTATTCAATAAAAAATAAAGCTGCTTTCGATACTAATTGCCTGAAGAACAGTAACTTTTATGGTAAACAAGAAACAACTTTTATTTTAATGATATGTAAAATTAATTAATATCCGGGTAACTGCTACACAAATACTATAACGATTTTAATTATGAATTTTTTTAAAAGACAGAATTAATATCTTACGAAGCTGCTAGTGATAGTTAGTAGAGACTTCGATTCGTTACAGTTAATATTTTGGTACAAATTTTCCATTACTTTAGTTAATAACCCTATAATTATGAGTGAATAAATTTTTAATTTCCATTGCAAATGGAGTTTTTCGGTATAAGAATAAACTAAACTAAATCAGAGGAACCTGAGAGATACAACTCATTTTACTTTGTATTTATTTAAAGCTTTAAAATACATACAAATACTTAAGATACTTAAATTTAAAAACTAAACTTAAAGAAGATTATCTTCAATTGTCCCCAAATAATTCACTAATAGGCACTTTCGCTAACAAACGATTAAAAATTGAGGCAAATATGCTCCCGAAAGCCTCAGAATAACTCGCTTTAACATCTTCAAAAAGCTCCTTCCAGTTTTCATTCATCACTTGGTTCATTCCGTCACCCAAAGCCTTGTCACCATCGAACAGATTATCCAACTTAACCTCAATAAGTTTCGGATCAATATCCAACTTATGACCAACAACTTGATAATATCTTCTCCCTTTTTTCTCGTACTCCTTCAAGTCAAAAACCAACCCAAGCTTATAATCATCTACAAACATCAAAATTAATTCCAATTAACCTTAATTAAACCCACTTAAAACCTACGTAGAATGATCAAGCCAGGCCCTCGTCCTGTTATAGGCAGGACCAAAATTTTCCCACTGAGCTCATAATCAAAAGTCAATTCATACCGCGGTATCAAACATTGCAAACTCAGCCTCTTCTTGTCGAAATCAAAACTACAAATTTTTGCTCGCATTAATGTATACAAAAATGAAGACACTCACCCTGCTTTTGAACACGTAATTTCTTCCAAACCTGCCGTTTTCAAATTTTTGTAGACTTGCTTTGTCCCCATGGGTCCAGATCCGGCATCTATAGTCAAAGCAGCCACGTCCAGAGGCTCCGTGACTGTCAAATTCAGCTCATCGTACACCTGGTAAAGCTGCCTGATGGCGCTTTCGACGGCCTTTGGCAAGCACTGATCGAAGTCGCTTCGCTTCGGGTTACACTTCATAAAATTGGCAGCTGTAATTCAATTTTTGGTTTTTCAGTTTTCAGGAATGATGATAATGGTGATGACTTACGTAATTTGGCGGCCGTGGCCACCGTCACCAAGTATATGCAGATGAGTATATTTTGCATTGCTTTTGCAGTTCTGGAGCTTAAGCTAGAGTGTCCTCTTATATAATGTCATAATTTAGAAAAGAAATTGAAAAAAATGAACCGGTCTTCGCCATTAAGGTCGTTTAGTGAATAGTACAAAAACGTGAATATTTACGTCCATAGGAATTTTGATGCCTGTGAGAGTGAATAAATGTATCAATAGAAAGAGAGGGAAGATTATTCACAAAAAGCAAAGTCATAAAAACGCATGTTTTTATAATCCGTGTTTTTTTTTATGTAATTAATGAATTCTTAGCGATTTTAAAGACAACCACTAGGGGAAATAGGAACAAAGTAATGTTTCGGTGCACAATAAGACAATGTTTTCGTCCAGGACATTATTTAGAGGTATAATTAATATCCATATTTTCCAAAATTTCAAAACTTTAACCAGAATTATTTTTTTTACAGAGAACCTCTGTAAGTAAAAATCAATGAACGCAAAACAGTTAGAGACAACTTCGCTCGATCCTGAAGGACAACATATCCAGCTTTTTAGAAAATCCATGTCTTTATTATGGTCTTCACCAACAAATCATTTTACTGATTGCTACTTTTGTTTAACCGATACCACAGGTTATTCCCCTTCCATAAATGTTTCAAAGCCCCGCGCCGCAGGCCAGAATTCTGCACTTCATTTCATGCGGACCGGATTCATTGAAATTTGTAGAAAACAGAATTTCAAAAATAGTACATATTTACATATTTACAAATCGACAAAATTAATACTAAATTAATTATTCATTGTCTACTTCGTCGCCGCTTTCATCTAAATATAAAACAAATTCACTGACTTGTCGTTTCCTGTATTCTTCTTCTGTTGAAATGACTTTTTTAACGCACTGGCACTAAATTTTGGATTGTTGTTATTTCGACGAACTCTGGATTTTAATATGGACCATACCATTTCAATCGCAATAATAAGGAGGTAACCGCAGGACATAATGACCAAAATGGCCAAAACCACTGAAAAAACATGTCTCTCGTCATCTCATCGTGGTGGTCAACTTTCGCTTCTTTAACGTTTTCCCGGAAAGATACAATGCGTCTGAAACAAAACCTTGTTACACCCAACTCATCGTAGGTGACAGCGGTCCGGCGGCGTTCGCTAAAGGAAAGCCTGGAAGCGGAACTCGCGAATAGTCGCGATGGGTATTCCAGGAAGACCCCGACCACCTTCGAGAACGATTATTATTCAGTCGAGTCGAATCCAGCGAATGTTGAAAGAAGCCAGTCAAGTTCCGCCGGAATTATTTTGTACATAATCGCTGTATAATTAGTCGCGTAAATTCAAGTTACTAAGAAATAAATTATTGAGTTTTAACCCACGCGGATTTTAAATACCCGTTCGTCGTAACAGTGGTGGCAGAAGTGGGATTCAAGATTAATAATTGGTTTTACGAAGATCTGCAAGTTGAACAAGAATTCTGAAGATTGACGGCTATGCTCGCACAAATGGATGTAATGGATGAGAAGATGGACGCAAGAAATAAGGAAATGAAAGAAGAAATTGGTGCAAGAGATGACAAAATGGATGCAAGAGATGTGAAAATAAATCCAACAGGAGAAGAAATGAACGAAAAATGGAAATGATGGACCCAAAACTATATATTAAGCTTCTCGCAGGTCATTTAGGCCCATAGCTTTGAGATGCGTCTCCATTCTGTGGTGACCGAATTTAAATCAAAGTTTTCGCGCTGAAATTAATTGACAACGGCGCGAAATCACGCTTGAATAATTTGAATTTGAAAGAAAAAAAAATTTAATCACAAAAAGTTTTGCATGATGATTGAGTTAGATGACGGCTTGGTATCGCTAGGGAGTTTTTAGTTACAGGGTAAAAGCGTTGGTAGAGAAGCTGCATGGCGTAGCGTCATTCTGAATGTGCTTGTGTGAGTGTAACCACGTGGTAAGCGCTAGGTTTAAATTAATTGTTTTGGTAGTTAATAAAATGGGAGGAAGCCTTTGTTTAACGACAATCAATTGTAACTTTCATAATGACACAGTTGTCCCCAACCCGCGCGGTTAATTCTTGCGGCCTTTTAATCGGAGAAATGCGGACTTCCAGTCAACGCGAAACACGTGCTGTAAATTTGTTTCATTGTTTGTAAATTCACCAATCAAGTTAGTTTTTCTTAATCGTCAGCTAGTGCAAACACAATTTAACAATCAGGATTATTTAAATAAACCAGTTGCTAGAAGATTTCATGAAATTCACTTAGTTAGGAAAAATACCTGTGTTGTTTCATTACGAGTAAGTTTCTGGATGCATATACGTAAGTGTTACATTATGACACTTCTAAATTCTTCACACAAGATTGCTAATAGTTCATTTAAGGCAGTTAAACAAGTTCATTATACTGTGAACTGGCGGGAGGGGTTTAAAATGTTTTCTTCCCTATGGCTTCTTATCATCGTTATCATGATTAATTCATCGGGGCATGCCTCACAACGCCACAGATTGATTAATTCATCGAGGCATGTCATCACGACGCTACAGATTGATTAATTTATCGAGGCATGCCATCACAACGCTACAGATTGATTAGTTTATCAAGGTATGCCCTCACAATGCTACAGATTGATTAATTTATCAAAGTATGCCCTCACAACGCTACAGATTGATTAATTTATCAAGGCATGCCCTCTCAACGATTTAAAATTTACATCACCGAGACGCTTTTTCCTCGCAACGATTTTAAAATTTACATCACCGAGACGCTTTTTGCCTCGGAGCGATGATTAGATATTTTTGTGTTTGTTTATTATGTGTTTTGTTGGGGTAACCAGTTCGCGGTATTTTAAACTCCCAAAGTAAATTGGTTTTTTGAAGTAACCAATCACTTAGATCATGATATAATTTGACATAATGTAAACTCTTTGTCTGAATCGTTGATAAAGTGTGGCAATTATTAATCTCATGTAAATTTTGTTAACATTGCAATTATATATTTCACTTCATACAATATTTCTCAATCTCACACATAATATTTCTATTTTTACAAGTTCATTTCACACCAGATCTTTTGTTTCATAAATCCTTGCTAAGTTTTGTTTTGTAAATATTTTGTTGATGAATGTTTCTATCATATAAATTATTTGTTGTTCAAAATTTCACAAGATTATATGGCAAATTTAAATGTTGTTTATTGCTTGTTGAAACTTTAACACTTGTTCAGTAGCTGTTAATATCGAAGTTATAAGAGATTGAATATTTAAAAATGGAATTGAGGTTAAATGACACAGAGAACGTGGCAGAAGCGAAGTTCGGTTCCTAGTCGAGCTGGCGAGATTTATCGTGTCACCTGTACAAGCCCACAGGTTTGGATAGATTCAGGGGCGGCCGCCGGTTTGTAGTGCTCTCGGCTTGGACCAGTAGTCAAGATCCACTTGCGGGTCTAGCGACCGTAATGGCCTAGTTCCGCAGGGCACGTTAGTAATGGAGATATGCGTGCGGGTAGGCTTTGTGATAGAATCACCGTCGTGGGGGGAGAACAGCTCCAGACCGGTATCCCCAAACTCCACTTGTACTACATCACCCCAGGGGTACTTTTGCTGTGCTCCTGTTAACTGCTGTAACATTAAAGATCTGCCGCCACACGCCTGTAATAACTTGTGTGTTTGCATCCAGTTACTTAATTCAGATTTTGATTTGTTTTTATTAAATTTGGGATATTCAAATATTTGCATTGATTCCAAACAGATGTATAGAATTTTCCGTTTGTTCATTTTTTTTTCTTTCATATAACTTAAGGTGTTTGAAATGTAATATTTCGGTGAATAAACCCTAGGGGATTTTGGGGAATGAAGACCGATGACGCCCTGCGGAACCACCAAAAAGGGCACGCTGAGTCACATTCGCTCTTCGTTTCTTTTCCTTCTAAGGAAGGATGCCATTTCGACCCTTCCCTAATTTTGTCTATTATTTCTTGCGCTCTCAACTCACATGCAGTATATGCTCACTTGTATGAAGGAACGTCTTCCCGCCATTTTTCAAAAACAAAAAACCACACAATTCCTATTTGTTAGACGATCACAGGCAAAGCCAAACTTTGAATTTTTGAATTTTTCGCGGGCTTAGTAAACTTTTTCAAGGTCAATTTAAAGGCGGGAAGTTTGGGTTATCACAATTCCCTTCGGTTTTTTGCGTTCTTCCTCCAGTCTTGTATTTGTTTTTCTGCTAGGTCTTCCTCTATGGCTTCTTTCCACTTCTTCCTTGGTCTTCCTCTTTTCCTTTTACCCTCCGGAATTTTCCACGCCACCATCTTAACTTCTCTTTCTTGGATCATTCTTTCTAGATGTCCTAACCATTCCAATCTTTTTATTTTCATGAAATTGTTTACAACTGAGTCATTATATCAATCATGTATTTATGCATTAGTTCTTCTTTCCCGTCCTCCTTCTGTTTGTTTCTCTCCAAAGATTCTTCTAAGTATCTTCCTTTCCCAAATTTCCAGTCTTTGTTTCATTTTATTTATCATAATCCATGTCTCACACGCGTATGTTAGGATTGGTCTCACTATGGTTTTATATATTCTTAGTTTTGTTTGCCTTGATATTTCTTTACTTTTCATAATTTTTCTTTATCTTCCTGCACAATTGTTACTTTTAGCAATTCTCAGTTCTATTTCTGCCTTCTTGGAATTTGTTGGTTATCAACAGCACATAAACGTTTCTACTTCTTCAAATTCTACTTTTATTCCTTCTTGTCTGTCTATTTGTAGGTTGTTTTTTTTTCTACTCCCACAGTTATTCTTTAGTTCCATTTATTTTGTTTTTTCTATATTAAATTCTAAGTCTACCTCTTCTGCTTGTCTCATTAGCTTTGCTGTTATCCTTTCTAATTCTTTCCAGTTTCTTAGGTAGTAGGACCTAATTGTCTGCGAAGGCTAGACATTGATGGCTTCTGTTGAATAGTAGACCCTTCCTGTTTATATCACTTTTCCTTATAATACTCTCTAGAACCAGATTGAATAGAGTAGTTGACAACGGATCACCTTGTCTGAGTCCTTGTTTAAGATTAAACCTGTCGATAGTTTTTCCTTTTACTTTTACTCTACTTATTGTGTTTTACATTATCATTTTCATTAGATTTATTAGTTTTTCGGAAATATCTAGTTCTCTCAATATGTTTATTAACTTCGTCCTGTTCACCGTATCGTAAGCTCTTTTGAAGTCCACGAAGAGTAAATGAGCATCAATTTCATATTCCTAGTTTCCTACCATGATTTGTTTCAACATAAATATTTGGTCGATTGTCCCTCTTCCTTTTCTAAAGCCTCCTTGATATTCTCCTAGAGCTTCTTCCATATATCCTTCAAATTTTCTTTTTATTATCGATGCCAGTAGTTTGTACGTAACGTCTAATAACGCAATCCCATGGTAGTTTTCGCAGCTTCTTCTGTCACCTTTTTTAAAGAGCGGCGTTTTTAGTGCCTCTTTCCAGCTATCCGGCATTTCTTCCGTTTCCCAAATTTGCTTTCTTACCAACTGGATATCGTCTTTCAGTTTTTCACCTCCATATTTTAGGTTTTCTTCTTAATTCCATTTCTCCCTGGGCTTTTGTTATTCCTCATCTGATTTATTATCTCCTCTATCTCTTCTCTTATTGGCATTGCTATACTTTCATTACTTAAAGTTCTTTTTTTAGTACTTGTTTTTGCTCTTCTCTGACCTCTTCTGATTTCGCTATTTAGTATTTGTTCGAAGTATTGTTTCCATCTTCTTATTTTTCCTCCATCGTCGCCTATTAAATTGCCTTCTGTATCTTTTATATATTGCGTAGATTCGTGTTTTGTTGACTTTACGTCTTGTATGTCTTTATAAAAGTTCCTTATCTCTTTCTTCTAGTATGCTTCCTCTATAGTTTTTATTTGTCTTTCTAAAAAATCCCTTTCTTTCCTGCGACATATTTGCTTAACTCTATTTCTTTGACTGTTATAATTCCTTGTATTTTCTTAATTTCTTATCTGCAGCATTTTCATTCTGAGTTTTCCGCGCGGCTAATTCTTGCGGCTTTTAATCTAAATAACATGTGATCTTTCAACGTGGAACACGGGCTGTAAATTTGTTTTATTGTTTGTAAATTCACCAATCAAGTTAGTTCTTCTTAATCGTCAACTAATGCAAACACAATTGAACAATCAGGATTATTTAAATAAATCACTTGCTAGAAGATTTCATGAAATTCACTTAGTCAGGGAAACATCTTTGTTGTTTAATTACGAATAAGTTTCTGGATGCATATGCGTAAGTGTTACATTATAACACTTCTTAATTTTTCACACAAGATTGCTAATAGTTTATTTACGGCAGTTAAACTAATTCATACCGCGAACTGGCGGGGGGGTTAAAATAATGTCTTCCCTTAGGCGGTTATCATCGTTATTATCGTCGTTGTCATGATTACATCACTGAGGCATGTCCTCGCAACGCCAAAGATTGATTACAGCGTCGAGGCTTGTCCTCGCAACTCTAAAGATTGATTACATCATCGAGGCCTGCCCTCACAACGCTACAGATTGATTACTTCATCGAGGCATGCCCTCACAACGCTACAGATTAATTACTTCATCAAGGCATGTCCTCGCAACGCTAGAGATTCATAACATCACAAGGCATGTTCTCGCAACACTAGAGATTAATAACACCATCGAGGTGTTTCCTCGCAACGATAAAAATTTACATCACCGAGGCGCTTTTTCCTCGCAACGATGATTGGATGGATATTCTTGTGTTTATTTATTATGTGTCTCGTTGGGGTAACCAGTTCGCGATATTTTAAACTCTCAAAGTAAACTGTTTTTTTTTTTAAGTAACCAATCACTTGGATTATGACATAATTTAGCATAATGTAAACTCTTTGTCTGAATCGCTGATAAAGTGTGGCAAATATTAATCTCACGTAAATTTTGTTAACTTTGCAATTTCTCACCTCATACAATATTTCCCTAATCTCACAGTTTTAACCTCAGTAATTTTCCTTAGTTGTATAATTTTCATTTGACGTAAATTTCATGCTCTACAGTTTTAACCTCACATAATATTTTTATTTGCACAAGTTTATTTCACACCAGATCTTTTGTTTTATAATTCTTTACTAGTTTTGTTTTGTAAATGTTTTGCTGATTAATCTCTCCATCGTATAAATTATTTGATGTCCCATTTTTATCTCACATAAGAATTATTTGTTTAAATATTTATGTTGCTTTAACATTTGTCCAGTTGTTGCTAATATCAGAGTTATAAAGAATTGAACATTTAAAATGGAATTGAGGTTAAAAAACAGATCTTATCGCGACGCCTAAACAAAGGGTACAGGTTTGGATAGATTCAGGGGCGGTTGCGATGTTGTAGTTCTTTCGATTTGGCCCAATAATCGAGACATAACTGCGGATCTGCGATCGTAATGGCCTAGTTTCGGACGGCATGTTCGTTCTAGAGACGTGTAATGTGCTGTTTGGGTAGGCTTTGCGATAGATAGAATCACCGTCGTGGGGGGAGAACAGCCCCGACCGGTAACCCCAAACTCCACTTGTGCTACAACGCCCCAAGGATACTTTTGTTGTGCTCCTGTTAACTGCCGTAACTTTAAAATTTTACGCCACACGCCCGTAATAACTTGTGCATTTGCATCCAGTTATTTTAATTCAGATTTTGCTTTGTTTTATTAAATTTGTGATATTCAGATATTTGCTTTGGCTCCAAACAGATGTATAGGATTTTGCGTCTGTTCGTTTCTCTGTCAATTCGCGAGTGTCTTTCTTTTCATATTTTTAAGGTGTTTCATTTGTAATGTGATATGTCCGTGCGATAGAGGGTTTTAGGGGCTGAGGGCAGCTACTTTCCTCCTGAGAGGGGTGACATTTTAGTCCCTTCCAAAAAATTTTGTCTATAATTTACCTTAATAAGGTTTTTGATAGCTCCTTCTTATAGATGTGAATATGTACAAATGCGTTAGTGAAATAAATCACTCACTGCCTTTTTCATTCTAACACATTTTTTCTTGACTCCTTGGATATTAGAAAAATAATGTACCTATACAACAAATATCTAAAATTTAAAAAAAAATGCCATCTTTTTCTACCTATGTATTTTCAAAACGTCAACTGGACATGTTATGATTATTGCCAAAGCAGTGTTACAGGTTTCACTCTAATTTTGATCGAATTTTCAATCAATTTTATCTCGGAAACGAAAAAACTCTTATTAAAACTTTTTTTGTGATTGCCTTGTACTCTCTGAAACCAGTTTCCGATATATATAGACAAACTCATTCCGCAACACCTCTTCCAAGAACACATTAAGCTCAGCAGCTGGTTTCGAAGAAACCAAAATCCATCAATTTTGGAGATTATCTGCCTAATAAAGTCGTTAACAGACCACAGAGAAAGGACAGACGGGACAGACGGAAAAGGGTGACCTATTTTTTCATACTCTGAGTGTCATGAAACGTCAAGAAAACATGAAATAAGTCGTTCGTTTGATGGAACCTGACGCTCGGGAAGTAAAAAATGCTAAATAAGACAATCTTTTTGCAAGAATTAACAAGGCTACATAAAATATAAAAATAAAAAGACTCCACCTAGGCGTACATAATTCATAAAATAGCGAATTATGCAAAAGCAAATTAATCTGCTGTCGAAACCAATGGAGAACAGTGGTTTTTATAGTAAACAATAAACAACTTTTGTTTTAATGATATGTAAAATTAAAATCCGGGTAACTGCTACCCAAGGTACTTTAACACACTGATGCGCCATTTTTATCATAAGATTTCTCAAAAGACAAATTTTCCACTACTTTAGATTAGAACCATGTAATTATAAGTAAATAAATTTGTAATTTTCGTAATGTTTATGCATAGATTTTTTTAATTACGTATTTGCAAATGGAGTTTTTCGTTGTTAAAAAAATATATATAAAAAACATTTTACTCTGTATTTATTACAAAACTCTTAAAATACATACAAAATTTAATTTTAAGAAACTAGACTTAAAGAAGATTATTTTCAATTATCCCCAAATTTCACTAACGGGCACTTTCACCAACAAGCGATTAAAAATCGAGGCAAAAATGCTCCCGAAAGCCTCAGAATAACTCGACTTAACATCTTCAAAGAGCTCCTTCCAGTTATCATTCATTACTTGGTTCATACTGTCACCTAAAGCCTTATCACCACCGAACAAATCATCCAACTTAACCTCAATACGTTTCGGATCAATATCCAACTTATGACCCACAACTCGATAATACCTCTTCCCTTTTTTCTCGTATTCCTCCAAGTCAAAAATCAACCCAACTTTATAGTCATCTACAATTATCAAATTAATTCCAATTAACCTTAATTAAACCTACTTAAAAACGTACGTAGAATGATCAAGCCAGGCCCTTGTCCTGTTATAGGCAGCACCAAAATCTTCCCACTGAGCTCGTAATCAAAGTTCAGTTGATACCGCGGTATCAAACATTGTACACTCAGCCTCTTCTTGTCAAAATCAAAACTACAAATTTTTGTTCGATTTAGTGGATAGAGAAATGAAGACACTCACTCTGCTTTCGAGCACGTAATTTCATCTAAACCTGTCACTATCAAATTTTTGTAGACTTGTTTTGTGCCCATGGGTCCAGAACCGGCGTCGATGGTCAAAGCAGGCACTTCCAGGTGCTCACTGACTGTCAAATTCAAATCTTCGTACAAGCGCTGGAGCTGCCTGATGGTGCTTTCAACGGCTTTTGGCAAGCACTGATGGAAGTCCGTTCGTTTTGGGTTACATTTCATGAAACTGGCAGCTGTAATTCAGTTTTTGGGTTTTCAGTTTTCAGGAATGATGGTGATAACTTACGTAGTTTGGCGGCAGTGGCCAGCGTTACCAAGTACATACAAATAAGTATAGTTCTCATTGTTTCTGGATACAGTTCTGGAGATTAAAGTAGAGTGTGTCCTTATTTATACGTCAATTTAGAAAAAAAAAATAAAGAAAATAAAATTAACCGGTTGGACCACTATATCATTTAGCGTTTACTACTTTAAGACGTGAATATAAAGCAGGTGCAACTTTTGGAATTTTTTTAATCTTGATACGTCTAAGAAATGGAGAGTGGATCAATAGAAAGAGATGGAAGATTATTATTCATAAAACGTAAGCTACAAGAGTTAATCAATGTATCTATTTAAAGAACTTTTGGTGATTTTAAAAACAGCCAGCATTATTTAGTTTTCTCAAACAGCTTCATAAACCACAGGTCTAAGATATGTTATTTTGTACATAGAACAATTTTAATTAGAGCTTCATCACGTTTACATTTTCTTTTTAACCTAGACGTCTAAAATACGGGAAATAAAACCCCTTTTAAAAGAAACAAATAATAATTTTATTAGATAAAATATCAAATTCGCTAAATATACACACATTAGAGTTACATTACAGTTAAATACAGTCTGTTGCAGGTTTCTACTCTACATCTACCATCATCACGACCCGACTATTTTACTACATCCAGTTTTCATTTCTAGATACAGAAACAGAATTAATCTAAAAAGATGTCTTTCGTTGGTACTCTCGTGAAAACTCTGTTGGCTAGATCCTGGAAGATGATTCCGAAACTTTTTTCGTAGCCTGCTCTCACGTCGCCGAAAACCGCGTCCCAGTTTTCGTTGAGAACTCGGTTGATTTCGTCACCGAGGCGGTTGTCTCCGTTGAACAAATTAGCGAAATTGAACTGGACGATTTCTGGGCGGAGGGTGACGGTGTAGTTCACCCACTTCAGGAAGGTTTTTCCTTTGCGTTCGAAGGGTTCGCCGATGAGGGTGTGGTTGATTTTGGTGTTAACTGAAAAAAATAGCGAACAATAAATTTGTTTTATCGTTTTTAAATTCACAGTTCATGTTAGGAGTTTAATCGTTAACTAATGTTAACACAATTTAACAATCAGGAATTTATTTAGATAAATGAAGTACTTGCTGGGAGTTTTCATCAAATTCAGGACTCGTTTGATTTTGTTTGTCCAATTGTGAATAAGTTTCTGGATGCTAATACTTAAGTGTTACATCATAGCACTTTTTAATTCTTCACACAAGATTGTTAATAGTTCTTTTACGGCAGTTAAATAAACCAAACGTGGCCTCACTGTGGAAAAATGCCGTAGAAAAGTGCAGCAGAATTCACAATATAACTCTCCTTAGACAGTTATCATCGTTATTATCATCGTTATCAACATCACATCACCGAGATATTTTATTTCTAGCAACGTAAAGTGTGGCATAATTTAACATAATGTAAATTCTTTGTCTGAATTGTTGATAAAGTGTGGCAAATATTAACCTCATGTAATTTTGTTAGCTTTGCAAATTTTCACCCCAATTTTTCTATTTCACAATTTTAGCCTCAGTAATTTCCTTGTTGTAATAATTTAAATTGGACATACATTTTAATGCTCTGCTCAAATTTTACTTCACACCAGAACTTTTGTTTGATAAATCTTTGCTAGTTGTTTCATGTAAATATTTTGTTGATTAATGTTTCCATCATATAAATTATCTGATGTCCAATTTGAATCTCAAATAAGAATTATTTGCTGTTTAAATTTTTGCGAGAGGGTTTCTCGAAACTTTACCACTTGTTCGGGTGTACTTTGTTTAATATTAGGGTCATAAAAAATGAACATTTAAATGAAATTGAGGATAAATAACACTAAAACACGTGGTGGAAGCGAAGTGCGCGGTTCCTTGTCGAGCTGACGGGATTTATCGCGCCATCTGCACAAAGGATGCAGGTTTTGTATAGAAGTCTTGTGTATTTGTATCCAGTTACTTTAATTCAGATTTTGCTTTGTTTTTATTAAATTTGTGATATTCAAATATTTGCACTGATTCAGAACGTTTAATTTGATTTGATTCCAAGTCATTCATAGTTTTTTTTATAGCTGAGTACTCTTTAACCTGCGCAACTTAATCGCAACTTTTTTTCTTTTTTTTTTTTGTCAGTGGAGGAATAAATAATTTTGTCTCCTCCATATATTTTGTGTTTTATTTCGCGGTACTTTTCCAAACTTAGGGTCCACCATTTGCATCTGAACGCATCCCGCCGTTAAAAAAAAAACACACAACGTAGGTTCCATTTTGTTAAACGATCACAGCCAAGCCCAAATTTTGAATTTTTGAATTTTTCGCGGGTTTTTCAAACTATTCAAGTGTCAATTTAAGGCGGGATGTTTGGGTTATCACATCACCTTAAAATATTGCTGAATATATTTATCTTAAATGCGCTTTTTCTTATTATACGTAGCCGTCACCACAAAAAACTTAAAACATGCCTAAAATGGTAAATTTCAATAGGGAAATATCGATTTTGCAATTACGCTCCGCCCCTCGGTCTGGCAACGAATGAAAAATTCATCACGCTTGAGATCGAGACGGATGGGTGGGGCTTCTATTTTGGTTTTCTTTTTTATTTATGTAATACATTTAGTTTTCTTTGTATAACACGATTACTTCCGAACACATTTCACATGGTAATTTCACGTAGAAAAATAAGGATTTCACAATCAAGCTCCGCCCCTCGACTCACGACGATTAAAAAAATCCTCAGAATTGAGATAGGGCGGGTGGGTGGGGCTTATGTTTTGCCCTTTTTTTCTTAAGAAACATAGCCATCTTTCACAACAAAAAACTTACAACATGATTAAAATGGTACATTTTTGCATTGATTTAGAAATCGATATTTCCATTTACAAATTTTCCATTTTAAACTTGTTTTAATTTCCATGTTGTGAAAAGAAGTCTACACATATTAAAACGAAAAGACAGAATGTCAGCCCGCCCACCCGCCCTGTCTTAATTGTGATGAGTTTTTCTATTCACCGTAAACCAAGGGGGCGGAGCTTAACTGCAAAATACTTATTTCTTTATAAGAAATTAAAAATATATTTTTGAGTGCTGTGTTGTTCAAGGAATACTATGTATATTAAGAAAAAAGGCTAAATATTAACCTCATCTCAATTGTGATGATTTTTTTTTTATTCTTAGAAACTTGAAACACGTTTAAAATGGTAAATTTTGGTAAGGAAATATGGATTTTGCAATTAAACTCCGCCCCTCTATCTGACAAAGAATGAAAACTTCATTACTATTTAGATCAGGACAAGTATGGGTGGAGCTTAATCTTTGGTTTTAATTTTTTCTTAATATATGTACATAGTATTCTTGGGTACATGATAATTTCTTATAGAGAAATAATGCGGATTTTGCAGTTAAATTTCGCTCCTTTGGCTCTTGATGATAAAAAAAATCACAATTGAGATAGGGTGGGTGGGCGGGGCTTATATTTCGCCGTTTTTTCTTAATAAGTATGTGTATTCATCTTTTCGTACAAAGAAACTTATGGATATTGCAATTAAGCCCCGCCCCTCGATCTGACAACGAATGGAAAATTCATCACTGAGAATTGAGATCGGGGCGGGTATGGGTGGGGCCTAATCTTTGCCTTTATTTTTTACTTATCATATATAGTATTCTTTAAACACGATACTCAAAAACATATTTTTAATTTCTCATAGAGAAATAAGGATTTTGCAGTTAAGCTCCGCCCTCTTGGCTCACGACGAATAACGAAAATCATTACAATTGAGGCAGGGGGGTGGGCGGGCTGACATTTTGTCTTTTTGTTTTAATATGTGTAGACTTCTTTTCACAACATGGAAATTAAAACATGTTTAAAATGGAAAATTGTAATTGGAAATATCGATTTTGCAATTATTCTCCGCCCCATAATTGCAAAATCTACATTTCCTTGCAAAAGTGTACCATTTTAATCATGTTCTAAGTTTTTCGTTGTGAAAGATGGCTATGTTTATTAAGAAAAAAAGGGCAAAACATAAGCCCCACCCACCCGCCCTATCTCAATTCTGTGATTTATCACTGCATTAATATTTTTTAAATCTACTTACTTCTACGAGTGTCTCAGAAAAATTAATAACTGAGTTGTTAAAAACAAATATCCAATCAGATTTACGAATCTAACTCGTTATTATGGAAATTTGCAATTTATCACCTTTTAAATTTAACAAGTTTTTACGAGTTATAGATGCAAAATCAGTCTTATCTTATCAAGTGCTAGCGCTGCTCACCCGCCACCTATTTTCTCAGAGTTTATATCATTTGCCAAAATAAGTTGTACCTATGCAAGTACTAGCCCCGCCCACCCGCCCTCTATTTTCTCAGAGAGTATGGTATTTGCCAAAATCAGTCTTATTTGAGCAAGCACTAGCCCCGCCCACCCGCCACTATTTACTCAGAGGATATGTCATTTGCCAAAATAATACTTATCTTAGCAGATAGCCCCTCGAAAATACATAGTATCGTCACCGTGGAGCAAACATGGCGGAAACTTAACAAAAACAAAAATTATGAACACCATTTGACAGACCGCGAAATTTAAAATGGTTTTATGCTGGCTTTAAAATTTGTAGTTTATATACAAAATATGGACTTTTAATTTGAATAAAATATAAAATTTAATCAATAAAATCTTATTTAACAATTATTAGTTATATTAATTGACTTTAAACAAAAAGATCACGCCAAGACCACGTGACAACAACAGTTTACGTCCTGTCAACTCACTGCTGACACAATTTGGTTCCAAACCAGGGGAATTTTTTGCATTTGCTCCACTCGTACAACAATGGATGACGGTACTATGTATTTCTAGGGGCTATAGCAAATACTACCCTCTGAGAAAATAAAGGGCGAGTGGGCGGGGCTAGTACTTGGTAAGATGAGACTGATTTTGCTTAATGAGATACCTTTTAAGAAAAAAGTGGGTGGGTGGGCGGGGTTAGTACCTGCTAAGATAAGGCTGACTTTGGCAGATGACATATCCTCTAAGAAAAGAGCGGGTGGGTGGGTGGGGCTAGCACCTGATAGGATAAGATTGATTTTGGCAAATGATATATCCTCTAAGAAAGAAAAGGGTGGGTGGGCAGGGGTAGTGCTACGTGACATTCTTCCGATGTATAAACATAAACACTTTGAAGTAGTTTTTCTTATCGAGGATAATCTAAGGACGTACAGTAATAGAGTCTATCTGGCAATTTGGTACTTTCATATTTTCTAGCTAGGGGGAGGCTACGGGATACTGCGCCTCCCCTAGATCTAGACAAGTTATAATTAACCAAATGTGAATTACAACATCGAAAATCAAAATGAAATCTAGTGTTTATTCAATAACCGGATATCAGAACAATAAAAAAGTCTGGACCGTCGGCATTGTGATCCGGTTATTGCAATTCGTAGAAATCTTTTAGTTTAGGTACCATAAATGATTTTCAGTTCAGTCTTCAGTCGCACCTCTGTTATTACCAGTGCTGGGCAGTATCTAGATACTTGTTTCTAAATAAAGTATCTAGATACATTTTTGGGTATCTAGCATCTGTATCTAGATAACATCGAATTTAAGCACAAAATATCTGTATCTAGATACAAAATTAATGGCGCAGATACAGATACATTTTTTTATTTCACTTTTTACTTCCCGAGCGTAAGCAAAGGAAGTATTGTAATCGAGTCCGTCGGCCGACTCTCTACTTTTACGTTTTCTCGATCTTTCATGACCCCTAGAAGACGAAGAAATAGGTCTCCCATTTCCGTCTGTCTGTCCGTCTGTCCGTCCGTCTGTCCGTCCGTCTGTCCGTCTGTCCGTCTGCCCCCGGATTTTTATTAGACAGATAATCTCCGAAAGTACTCGACCGATTGTTGTGAAATTTTGTACTTATATTAAGAATATCATGTAGATGGTAAAACGCTAACCAAAATTTGTCTAATCATCCCCACCACTAATGCGATGACGTCACTTCAAAATTGTACATAGTAAATGGGTTTTCAATTGTATAAAATAACATAGTCCTACACATGTAGTTTACAACTCTGAATCGACTTTTCACCCGAAACGTCCAGATTTTTGGAAAAAAAATCAAAATTATAAAACAACATTTTGAAATTTAATTTTTAATCTGCTAACCAGAATGCTTTGAAATGCTGCAGATGTTTTAAGGCTATAAAGAGCATCATAAATTTTTAGTCAAAAAATATTTGCTTATCCCCTCCAAAAACTTGATGACGTCAGCTCAAAAGTTTGTGGAATAAATCATATCTAAAATGTACAAAATATGATGAGTCTGTACTTGTGATCTATCACTCCATTCATATTTTTTGGATTTGCATATACAGGGTGACTCAAAAAAATTAATGAATGCGTAAATATATTTTATTGATTTAATCAGGAACTACAAAACCGAATGCTCTGAAATCTTGCAGATGTTTTAAGGTCATAAAGAGCATAATAAATGTTTAGTCAAAATATATTTGCTTATCCCCTCCAAAAACTTGATGACGTCAGCTCGAAAATTTGCCGAATAAATCATATCTAAAATGTACAAAATATGATCAGTCTGTACTTGTGATCTATCACTCCATTCATATTTTTTGGATTTGCATATACAGGGTGATTCAAGAAAATAAATGAAAGCGTAAATTTATTTTACTGATTTACTCAGGAACTACAAAACCGAATGCTTCGAAATCTTGAAGATATTTTAAAATTATCATAAGCATGGTAAATTTTTGATCAAAACGTATTTGGTCGTCCCCCCTAAAAAATTTATGACGTCACCACAAAATTTTGCTGAATAAATCCTATCTAAAATGTACAAAATATGGTGAGTCTCTTCTTGTGATTTATCATTCCATTCAAATTTTTTCGATTTGCATATACAGGGTGACTCAAAAAAATTAATGAATGCGTAAATTTATTTTATTGATTTAATCAGGAACTACAAAACCGAATGCTTTGAAATCTTGCAGATGTTTTAAGGTTATAAAGAGCATAATAAATTTTTAGTCAAAATATATTTGGTTATCTTCTACAAAAAACTGATGACGTCAGCTCAAAAGTTTGCCGAATAAATCGTATCTAAAATGTACAAAATATGATGAGTCTCTACTTGTGATTTATCATTCCATTCATATTTTTGGATTTGCATATGCAGGGTGACTCAAAAAAATTAATGAAGGCGTGAATTTATTTTATCGATTTAATCAGGAATTACAAAACCGAATGCTTTGAAATCTTGGGAATATTTTAAAGTTATTATAAGCATGGTAAACTTTTGTTCAAAATGTATTTGTTCATCCCTCCTAAAAAAATTGATGACGTCACCCTTAAATTTTGCTGAATAAATCCTATCTAAAATGCAAAAAATATGATGAGTTTGTACTTGTGATTTATCATTCCATTCATATTTTTTAGATTTTCTTAAGAGGTGGTTCAAAAAAATTAATGAAGTCAATTTATTTTATTGATTAAATTAAAGGCAACACTTATTATTAGTATTACACCCCAACCAACCCAATTTGGTAGACACAAAATTTGTTAAAGGAAAAACTCGGTTGAAACATAAGGGTAGCACGCTTATTTACATCGACTTTAACATTACAGACCTGCATTTGTTTTATGCGTTCACTTGGTTCCGCGAATGTGAAATAGACATGTTTACAATCAACCAATTGTGAATTTCACCGTCAAGAATTAAAATAAAACCCAATGTTTTATATAATAAGCGGAAGTCGAAGCAATAAAACCGATGGTCGTTTTGTTTACAGTTTCTCTGTTTGACTCTCACGTATGCTGTTACGCCTGTCATCTTAAATTAAGAATGTTTATACATACACGATTTTCAGTTGCCTCTGATACGTATACGTGAGTAAATTGTTTCGTTATTTTATTGATTATTACAAATCAATATTCAAAACGACCCAATTCATTTTCCCGAAAATTTGAGAATATAATAATTTTATTCTTAGTATTACACTACATCTATCCCAACTGGTATACGTGTCCTTGCAAAAATGTTGATGACGTCATCGCAATTTTTTTTTAAATTCCCACTACAAAAATGTAATGAGAAAAAAACACAATAGGCATGCAGTCGTCAAGTTTCCGACAGCGAGGGAAGTACTGTCTAAACTCTTTAGACCAATTTTTTCAGTAGTTATTAGTTGAGTTATACTAGTAATTTTTGATACTTGATGTTGGTGATTTTGGTCACATAAACAAAAATCGAGGTAAGAGGTCCACTAATAGTGTTCTGTCATGGAAATTTTCATATTTTAAATACCATCATCTCCTACATTGTAGCCTTCAGTACTTATACATCTTTAAATATAATCATGAGGGATAATAAATCTAAGCCATGGTAAGATGGTATTTTAAAAACCATAAACGACAATTCACTATTCACTGCGTTTTACGCTTATCGGGGCAATGCATTTTATCTGTGTACCTGAGTAACCCGGGTCCGGCAGGCCCGCTGGTTGTATTTGTGTTATTAAATAAGACTAATTTTAATAGTAAAAATATTTGTTTAAGGTATGTTATTATTTTTAGAAAATAATAATTGCGTGCTACATAATGATTAATTTTTTCAATTAGCACAAATTAGTTCTGTAATCGACTAGTCGAATGTTCAATACATACATTTCTCTCGCATAAATCGCATATTTGTTACTGTTTCATACCTTTATTTTTCAGACAAATGTAGCATCTTTTCCTGTTGCCACATGTGTCATTTGTTCACTTTTTCAATGTTGGACCTAACGCGAGGTGGGCTTGGTAGGTCTGTTTTGCCCTAGAATGTGCCGATTATGTTTAAATGTAAATCTTCGGCAATAAAATTAATATTTTTACAACCCTCGGTAGAATAATTTATCGTGATATATTCTCAGAAATCGTGAAACGAGATTAAAATAAAATGAGTTTCAACAAAAATCTGAAAATTTAAAGTTGCACTCTGGTGATTCCGGCCTGCCAGGCAGCCTTTGATCCTATAAGGAGTTTAAATACATTTCTAAGAAATTGTACTTATTTTGCCTTAAACCGAACCAGCAATTCTTCCTAAAATGTATATACCTGCCGCACCGGGATAGACGATTACCAGACATGGTCATAAAAACATCGTAAGCCGATATTGAAGAATAATAATTTATGACAGGTTGCCGACAACAGACCTTCAGCACAGAATAATCATTTTAAGTCTTGAATAACTATGCTACAGTAAAATGTTTATTTTTTAAATTTAATACCACAATCCCTTCTTCTGCACCTGTGGAACGGGTGTTCAGTAGCGGAAACCAAATTCTGATACCAAGAAGAAATAATTTAGGTGACAATACGTTCGAAATGTTGTTAATTTTAAAAAACTCATTAAACAATACATAAAAAAATACATAAACATGTTTTCAGTTATTTTATTCGCCAAAGCGTCAAAAAGTATCTGTTTTCTTGTATCTGCATCTAGATACATTTCGAAAAAATCGAAAACAATCTGTGTCTAGATACTTTTAAAAGTATCTGTCCCCAACACTGGTTATTATTATTACATACACCCGACGTGATTAAAATGCTTGCAAACATGTGGATAATATCAATAACAAATTTTGTAATAGAAAAGAACACTTGTAAACTTCCAACCACTGTATACTGGTTTTTTATTTTGTAGTATATGCAACCAATTAAACGGTTAGCAGCAACAAATGAGACAGTTATACAGTCCGAAAAGAATCAGTGCTCACTTCGATGTATGAATCATCAGTGAAAGCAAAACTAAATGTGCGAAAACATAATCACCAAGACTTAAAACACCCGTAACAACCCATTAACTTTACACAATACGCAACAAAATATACCATTTTATGGCTTTTTCGAGTCGCGAAACCTCACACGTCATAAATCACAATCCAACAACAAAAAAAAGCAAAACCAACGCCAACAAATCACAAAATAAAAAAATTAAACAAAACAGAAATTACTCAATCGCACTTGACATTAAATTAGCCAATCTTTGTCTTACACATCACACAACGTACCCAAAGTGACGTTACAAGGTCCGTCCCCATAAATCGGCAACAAAAGCACCCGTCCTTTCATGTTGTAATCGGCTTCGAGGCGCAACATGGGCGTAATGGACTGCGCAAACAGCATGTTTTGGTCTAAACTTGCCCTAAAATTGACTCGGCGGTTACTTAACGAACGACTTAAGTACTTGTCTTACTTCTCCGCCAGGACTTTGGAGCCAGTTAGGCCGTGCAATCTGACATTTTTGAAGTTCTGCTGGACGTTGACGGGCCCGGAGCCCTCGCCGATGACCAGCTCCGAAATGAGGAGGGGCTCGAAGGAGTCCAGCGCAAGTTCAGGGGCACCTAAAACGTTACATAAAAGTCACTGACTCGAAGGAAAAGTTCGGAGTGTGTTGCAAGCGGGTCATTACGTATGTAGTTTTGACATTTTTTTCTAAAATTGTTTTATATTTAAATTAATAAGTATTGGAAATTTTATTTCATTTGCAAACAATGCAAATAATGGCTAATTATTTTTATTTTTAATAAGTGGGTATTTATTCGCTCATTAGCATTAATAACCTATCGTGTAAACGAATAAACACGGGTATCTTTTCATTAATGGCGCTAATTTTCACACACAGAGATGAAAAAACACGGCTTGTTTAACATAAGAAACTGTGTCAAGTCCACGGAATTTAAATAGACACATTTGGGTTAAGTTTTTGAAGAAAAACATCTAAAATGAAAATTGATAATTAATGGTTAGCTAATTGTCATTAAGTTGTCGACGTTTTTACATCACAAAAATTCATTTGCATTGGAGATTAAGACGTCAAGTTATTCAGTTGAACTAATTAACGCTGATAAACAACACATTAGACTTTTTACATTCCTTAAATTATTATAATCTTGTATTTATAGCTACATCGGCGCTAGTTTGACCAGACAATACCCAGTAGCTATCGATTTGTACTAATTTTTAAAATAAAACTACTTAACCTTGACGTAAATTACGTTATTATCAAATAGCCACTGTTTAGTTGTACCGATAATTGAAAAAAAACTTATGATTATACATATTAACTACCAACTTTATCGGGTTTTCGTGCGAACGCTGCGAATTGAATGACTGTATAAAATACATATCTGTCGACTGAGAAATCTCCAGTCATAAATTATAACACAAATTAAACTGTCGTTTTTTGCTTTAAAATATATTTACGATCACATCAAATTTTACAACCGATTAGTTAACGATTATATAAAAATGCAAGGTTTTATCGGTTTATGCAGATTTCCTGGAGGAATGGTTCACCTATAATGCAAGCCCAGGAAATCTAGCAACTTGGAAATGAATCTTATCTGTATCTGTCGCACTTTAATTTTGAAATCGCTATTATTTTGTGACAATTTTTCTCACCCTTAGAAGTAGGATTCCATACATGTCAAAGTTATTCGTAAAATTGCAGAAATTAAAATTTTGTTGGCGATTTCTAGTACTTTGCTGATTATCAAATATTAACAAAATCTCATTTTTCAGCTGCTTTAAATTTTTTTAGTCAAAGTTCTTTTTTTAACAGACTGGAAACCCACTTTCAAGTTGGTTTTTTAAAATATTTCTTGTTTTTTTTTTCTATTAAAAAACACAGATCGAAGTGAACTGTGAAAATGAATACATTTACAGTGTTACAGAATTATTTATTTTATCGATTGATTTTACTAAAGTTACGTAAGACGTAACACACAACTTAGTTTTTCATATGGAATACTCTAACGTTATTCCAATTTTTTCGAAATTTTCTAGCGCAGTTTTATTGCGACCGACATACTTAAAGAAAGAGAACAAAAAACAGAAAAGATGATGCAGTAATGAAATTTATTTGAACACCCTGTATTTCCCACGTATCTTTTCATAAAAACATGCACATATGTCTTAAAAAATAACATTATTGTGATTTTTTTGTGAATTCTTGCATTGTTTCATTCTATTAAAAAAAAAAGTACAGAAAATGCTTAAACAAGAAGAATTAAAAGAGAACAATATGCAATAATGGAAAAATACAGGGTATTAGATGCAAAAAAAAACCAAGAAATATCTGTTTAAAAATTATAATTTGAAATGTATACATGTTAACATTCTGTATATTAAGTCCCGATTTTGTTTATTAAATCATAAAGTAAAATTGCAACGCCGACTTTAAAAATAACACGATTTTTTTGTAAACTTTTGTTTTATGAAAAGAATTAAAAAAAAAGACAATTGTCGCAGAAAGTTTCAAAAATAAAATTCGCTCGTAAAGCCATACACTAAAATTATTGTCAACTATACAGAGTGTTCTGTTTTCAAGGCATAACACATTTTTTTTTAATGAAATGTCTTATATATTTTTACAAACACTGATTAAACTATCCTTAGACGTTATAGAAAGTGTATTTTTGAAAAAATTTAATAAAATAGAGTCTTAATATACAGTGTATTTATAAAAAATAAATTTTTATCATTTTCAGACATCTATATTTCGATGTTTTCAATTAAAACAACCTGTATTTTATTGCTGCATCTTATACTGTTTTTTTTTTTTTCTACAGGATATTCTGTTTGAAAAAACTCAAATATTTCTATTTGCAGACTGTACCGTTTCAGATTTTTTTATAAACCCTCTGTATATTAAAATTTCATTTAATACCACAATAAAGTGTGTAAATCTTAAAAATAACATTATTGCGAAGGCTAGTGAAATATGTAAAAATATAAATGTGTTCTATTTAAAAAAAAAATATTGGGCATTATCGCTCTTAGTGGCCCACCCCGTATAAGGCACGCAGACAAAGCTTAAAAAAAGAAATGTAATTAAAAATAAAATAAAATACAGGGTGTTCGATGTAAAAAACCAAGAAATTCCTATTTCAAAATTATAATTTTGAATTTTTATATATGAACATTCTGCGTATTAAGCGCCAATTTTATTGATGCTGCAACGAAGCCCACACTTTTGTTTATTTATTCATAAAATATTCCAACACCAATCTCAAAAATCACCCTATTGCGAATTTTTTTGTAAATTTAGCTTTATAGAAAAAATTCAACAAAATGAGTACAACTTGGCAGCATTGCAGCAAAATTTAAAAAATAAAATAATCTTTAAAGTCACGCACTAAAATTATTTTCAGCTATACAGAGTGTTCTGTTTTCAAGGCATAACACAAGTTTTTTTTTTAATGAAATGCCTTATATATTTTTATATACTCTGATTAACTACTCCTTAGACCGTTATGGCAAGTGAATTTTTGAAATGAAAATTGAATAAAATAGAGTCTTTATATACAGTGCATTTATAAAAAATAAATTTTTATCATTTTCAGACATCCATATTTCGATGTTTTCAATTAAAACAACCTGTATTTTATTACTGAATTTTTTTTGTAAATTTAGCTTTATAGAAAAAATTCAAGAAAATGAATATAACTTGGCAATATTGCAGCAAAATTTAAAAAATAAAATACGCTTTAAAGTCACGCACTAAAATTATTTTCAACTATACTGACTATTCTGTTTTTAAAGTGTAACACACAAGTTTTTTTTATGAAACGTGTTTTTGTAAAAAATAATTTTCAAACATCGATATCTCAGTTTTTTCAATTAAAACAACCTATATTTTATTACTGCGTCTTATTCTGTGGTTCTCTTCAGGGTGTTCTATTTGAAAAACCTGAAATATGTATATCTGAAAACTATGACGTTTTAGAATTTTTTATAAACATTCTGTATTTTAAAATTTCATTTAATACCATAACAATCATTGCAATTTTTTATGAACATCAAGAAAAGTGAAATAAAGTGTCAACATCGCAACATCATTTCAAAAATATAATTACAAAGCCTAGGTGAAGGCTAAGAAAAATATGTAAAAATATATATAAGATGGTGTATTTAAAAAGCTAAATTGTGTATTATCGCACTTGGTGACTCACCCTGTATAAGTACAGAAAATGCTGCAAAAATGGAATTAAAACAAAACAATATGCAATAATAAATAAAATACAGGGTTTTCGATGAAAAACTAACATTATAATTTGGAATTTATATACATGAACATTCTGTATGTTAACACACCCTTTTATAGATGCTGCAACTAAGCGCATATTTTCATTTATTTATCCTTATAATATCACAACACTGATGTCAAAAATAACCCTATTCCATTTTTTTTTGTAACTTTTGTTTTATGAAAAAAATTCAAAAAAATTGGTACTACTTGACAACGTCGTAGCAAAATTAAAAAAAAAGTTTGTAACGCCACACACTAAAATTGTTTTCAACTACACAGAGTGTTCTGTTTTCAAGGCATAACATAAGTTTTTTTAATGAAATTCCTTATATATTTTTACATACCCTCATTAACCTGTCCTTAGGCGTTATAGCAAGTAGTATTTTTGAAATGAAAATCGCATAAAATAGAGTCTTAATATACAATGTACTTATAAAAAATAAATTTTTATATTTTCAAATATCCATGTTTCGATTTTTTTCAATTAAAACAACCTGTATTTTATTAGTGCCTCTTATACTGTTTTTTTCTACAGGGTGTTCTATTTGAAAAAACTGAAATATTTTTATTTGCAAATGTACCGTTTCAGAATTTTTTATAAACACTCTGTATATTAAAATTTCATTGAATACCACAATAACGTGCGTACGTCTCTTTATCTCTTCATATCATATTGCAGCATATATTTTAAAAATAACATTATTACGATTTTATATGAAACCTTGCTTTACTAAAAAATCAAGAAAATTTAAATAACGTGGCAACGTCGCGTCGTAAAAATTTAATGACGCACCCTGTATAAGGCACACAGAAAATGCTTACAAAAGGGATGTAATTAAAACTGGACAAAACGCAATCAATAACAAATAAAATACAGAGTGTTCGATGTAAAAAACTAAGAAATTCCTATTTGAAAATCATAATCTTGATTTTTTATATATGAACATTCTACGTATTACCGATCTCAAAAATCACCCTACTGCGAATTTTTTTTAAATTTTGCTTTATAAAAAAAATTCAAGAAAATGAGTATAACTTGGCAACATTGCAGCAAAATTGAAAAAATATAATAAGCTTTAAAGTCACGGACTAAAATTATTTTCAACTATACAGAGTATTTTGTTTTTAAAGCGTAACACAAGTTTTTTTTTAATGAAATGCCTTCCATACTTTTACAACTAGGGCATTATAGCGAGTGTATTTTGAAATAAAAATTGAATAAAATTGAGTCTTAATATACAGAGTGTTTATAAAAAATAAATTTTTGCAATTTTCAAACATCGATATCTAAGTTTTTTCAATTAAAACAACCTATGTTTTATTATTGGGGCTTATTCTGTGGTTCTCTGCAGACTGTTCTCTTTGAAAAATTTGAAATATTTATATGTGAAAACTATAATGTTTTAGGATTTTTTACACATACTCTGTATTTTAAAATTTGAAAGTGAAATAAAGTGTCAACATTGCAACATCATTTCAAAAATGAACTATAATTACAAAGCCTAGGTAAAGGCTAATGAAAATATGTAAAAATATATAGGGTGGTCTATTTAAAAAGCTAAATTGTGTATTATCGCACTTGGTGCCTCACCCTGTATAAGTACAGAAAATGCTTAAAAAATGGAACTAAAACAAAACAATATGCAATAATAAATAAAATACAGGGTGTTCGATGAAAAACTAACATTATAATTTGGAATTTATATACATGAACATTCTGTATGTTAACACACCCTTTTATTGATGCTGCAATGAAGCGCATATTTTCATTTATTTATCCGCATAATATCACAACACTGATGTCAAAAATAACCCTATTGCATTTTTTTTTGTAACTTTTGTTTTATGAAAAAAATTCAAAAAAATAGGTACTACTTGACAACGTCGCATTAAAATTTAAGAAATAATTTTGTAACGCCACACACTAAAATTTTTTTCAGCTATACAGAGTATTCTATTTTTAAAGTGTGATACAGAAGTTGAATAAAATTGAGTCTTAACATGCAGAGTATTTATAAAAATAAATTTTTACAATTTTCAAACATCCATATTTCGGTTTTTTGAATTAAAACAACCTGTATTTTATTACTGTATCTTATTCTGTTGTTTTACAGTGTGTTCTATTTGAAAAAACTGAAATATTTTTATTGGTAAACTGTATCGTTTCAGAATTTTTTATAAACACTTTGTATATTAAAATTTCAATTAACACCACAATAACGTGGATATACCATATTGGAACATAAATCTGAAAAATAACATTATGGCGATTTCTTATGAAACCTTGCTTTACTAGAAAAAATCAAGGAAATTGAAATAACGTGTCAACGTCGCGTCCTCAAATGTGTTCTGATACAAAATAAAATGTTGTGTATTATCGCACTTAGTGACGCACCCTGTATAAGGTACACAGGAAATGCTTAAAAAAGAAATGTAATTAACCTGGACAAAATGCAATAACAAATAAAATACAGGGTGTTCAATTTAAAAAACTAAGAAATTCCTATTTGAAAGTTATAATTTTGAATTTTTATATGTGAATATTCTGCATATTAAAGAGCGATTTTATTGATGGCTGCACTCAAGAAAATTAGTATAACTTGGCAACATTACAGCAAAATTAAAGAAAAAATAAATAAATAAATAAATAACGCGTAACACACGTTTTTCTTTTAATGAAATGCTTTACATACTTTTGCAACTTGAGCATTATAGCCAGTGTATTTTGAAATGAAAATTGAATAAAATTGAGTCTTAATATACAGTGTTTATAAAAAATCAATTTTTGCAATTTTCGGACATAGATATCTCAGATTTTTCAATTAAAACAACTTATATTTTACTACTGCGTCTTATTCTGTGTTTTTTTTCCACAAGCTGTTTTGTTTGAAAAACTTGAAATATTTATATTTGAAAATTATACATTTGTTTTAGAATTTTTTTATAAACACTCTGTATTTTAAAATTTCATTTAATACCGCAACAACGTGTGTACTTCTGAGGCTGTTTCTCTCTTCATAAAATATCGCAACACAAATCGTAAAAACAACATAATTGCAATTTTTTATGAACCCGTGCATTGCTAAAAAAATTCATGGAAATCGAAACAAAGTGGCAACATCGCAACATCATTTCAAAAATAAGCTATAATTACAAAGGCTAATGAAAATATGTAAAAATATATAGGGTGTTCTATTTAAAAAACTAAATCGTGTGTTATCGCACTCGGTGATTCACCCTGTATAAGGTACAGAAAATGATTTAAAAAAATAAATAGAGTTAAAACAAAATCCGATGCAATAATAAAAAAAGTACAGCGTATTCGATTTATTTATTTTCGTTTATTTATCCGTAAAATATCGGTGTCAAAAATAACTCTACTGCAATTCTATTGGTAACAAAATTCAAGAAAATTGGTATTACTAAAGTTGACAACGTCGCAGGAAAATCTGAAAATAAAATACGCTTACAACTTGTTTTTTTTATGAAATACCCTGTATATTTTCACACATTTTGAATAACCCTTTCTAGGTTGTTATAACCCGTGTATTTTTGACATAAAAAAATGAATAAAATTGAGGCTTAATCTACAGAATGTTCATAAAAAGTAAATGTTAACAATTTACAATATTGATATTTCAGTTTGTTCAATTAAAACAACCATTGTAATATTTTTATAAACACACTGTATACTAAATTTTTGACACCACAACGAAGTGTTTACCTCTGTTTATCTCTCCATAAAAAAATTGCAATGCAGATCTTATAGATAACATAACTGCTATTTTTTATGAACCCTTGCATTGCTAAAAAAGTCAAGGAAATTGAAATAAGGTGGTAACGTCGCATCATCATTTCAAAAATAAACTATAGTTAGGACAAAGCTGATAAAAATATGTTAAAATGTATCCTATTTAAAAAAATAAATTGTGTGCTGTCACACTTAGTGACTCACCCTGTATAAAGTATAAAAAATGCTTTAAAAAAATAGAATTAAAACAGGACAAGATGCAATAATAAATAAAATATAGGCTGATGTAAAAACTAAGAAATACCTATCCGAAAATTATAAATTGGAATTTATATACAGGGTGCTGAAAAAATGGTACATTATTAAGTTCACAACAGTAAATTCGGGAAAAATCATTAAAAAATCCCTTGATTGATATTGATTTTTTTTAAATACGCTATGCAAAAATTACAACAAAATTTAAAAAATATTTGTTAATAAAATTGTTTAAAAAAATGCCTTCGTATATTATATAGTAAAAGTTGGATGGAGATATTACATTCTAAAAATGTACTGAAAATTTCATCCAGAAAACGTAGCGACTGCCTTAAATTTTGAAGGGCTATATTATCTACATTTGGGCCCAAGAATTTTTTTAATTATTTTTTCTCTGTTCTATAAATAGTCCTCAACAAAGTGTCAGAGTTGGTATGTCATTTTTTTCAGCACCCTGTATATATGTTCATATGAACATTCTGTATATTAAGGGCCGATTTGATAACGGCTGTGAATTTTTTGTAAAATTTTGATTTATGAAAAAAATTCAAAAAAATTAGTATAACTGGGCAATGTCGCAGCAAATTTGAAAAATAGAATGCGCTTACAAAGCCGTACGCTAAAATTATTTCCAACTATACAGAGTGGTTGTTTTTTTATTTTGATGAAATACGCTGTATATTTTTACATAATTATTCCGATTGCCCTCATAGACGTCACAACATGAGCAATGTATTTTTGAAACAAGAAAATAATAATAAAAAAATAAATTTTTAGAATTTTCAAATATCGATTTTTTTCAATTAAAACAACCTGTATTTTATTAGTGCGTCTTATTCTATATTTTTTCTACATTAAAGTTGATAGTTGATAGAGAACAAAAAATAGAGTAAGATGCAGAAATAAAATACAGGATGTTGTGCTTGAAAAAACTGAACCCCTGCATTACGAAAAAAATACTCTGTATAGTTGTACGATTTTGGTCGTTAACTTCATATTTATATAAATATAATTTCTAAATTCTACTAGTGTTATTATTTTTATATAAAAAAATATAACAAGTTTTTTCTAGTACAATACGCGACAGTCAAAACTTTCAACTTATTTCAAAATATCTCCCGCAATTTCTACCTTACTTACCTTTCCAGAAACAAAAATACCCAACATCGCAACACTATTAAAGCAACAATTTTCACAATCTCCAATAAATAACAACTTTAATCGCCGTTAGATAACCCGCACCAACTAAATCAAGAAAAAAGTTACCATTCTTCAGCTTTCTGATGGCATCCTCGATGTTCACAACCAGACAGTCGTCAAAATGTGGATCGCTCTTGTGGCATCTCTTGAAACTGCTCGCTAAAAATCCGGTATTAAAAACACACAGAAAGAGGCACCGTCAAACGGGGCTACTTCAATCCGCCCTCTGAAAGCACCCCCATTTGACGATCCAAAAACCAAAAAGTGCCCGACCATCACAAAAATCTTTCTACTTACGCAATTTCGCCGCTCGTGTCGTAAAGCTTGCGACAACCAGCGCAAAGAAACCCAACGCGGTGACACCGAAACGACCCATAGTTCACACACTTTTATTAGTTAATAAGTGAATGTGGTTTTTAGGTAGGCTAGACATGCACCTTCAGACCTGTCTAGTCGAGGGGGAAATCGGCGAGATATGGCTCCACTTGTCTCTTTTATACCAAATACGCGCGCACACACACGAAAAGCCATACATTAAAAAAATAATGACGATGACAATAACGCAAGAAAGTAAATCTGTGTACTTCGTGTCATTATTCTTGATGGATTCGCGAGCCAAGGTGAACGTCTAACAATGGGTAATGATGGAAATTGCGAGTCAGAGGGAAAAGGGTAAAATGGTGTGTCGCAAATTTGTTTTGGTTTTTTCGTGGAGGAGTTGGGTAATGGTCGTTAAAAGGCGATTAGATGACACAAAAATATTTTGCTCTTAAAGATGAAAGTTGCCATTCTGGAAGAAACAGAAAAAGGGAAATCCTCACTAGTACCCATCCGCACAGATATGCTCGCCTTCGGCTCGTAAACCGCTTCATATGGTGCTCGTCAATTTTTGACAAATAACGTCTTCGGTTGGTTTGATGATAAAATTATTACGTCAGTCGTCCCAAAAACATTATTATTTTACCTCCGAGGAATGCAACTACAGCAAATAGAACTTTTAAATAACATAAACATACTCATGTTCAAAACGCAAAGATCGGTTCAAATATTTACACTAGGACTGTTTTCCAATTCAGTTGCGTTATTGGCACTTTAGAAATGCCACTCAAGAAAAAATATTCAGTTTACCAAACCTAATTATGCTGTTTTTGCTGCTCAATAGGTTAAGGGTTGCTTTAGTACTCATTTTCAACTTATTTTTCAATATTTCGGCTTAAAAATCCAAAATAAAGCCGCCATGTTGGTTTCCATAATTTTTATTTAGGTAAATTATTTCCACAGGAAGGGCAAAAGCTAAGAAACATTAGTGAAAATTTTCACTAATATTAAAGTATTGCTAAACATAAATTTTAGACATTGCCAAGTCAAAATGTTAACAAAACCGCGCTGATGATTTAATTACAACTAAATACTATTAATTACTCTTAATCTCCTGTTTCCGTCTGTCAATCTGCCATCTGTGTCAATTTTATATTAAGAATATCGTGCAGATGGCAAAACACTAACTAAAATTTGTCTAATCATCCCCACCAACAATTTAGTGACGTCAAGTAAACATTTTGCTTAGCAAATACTATTTAAATTTGACCAAGACATTGAATTTGTTTGAACGCGATTTCATGTGTGCCAAAAATTGTGTTGAAATAACTTTAGACCATTTTTTTACAGTTACGGTCCTCACCAAGCACCAAGAAAACGTAAAATTCTGTTTGTTGGTTTCTAAGATCTGATGAATTTTGAACAGACGATAACGAAATAAAAAAGATACAAACTTCAATAAAGACAACAAAAAAGAGACTAAAAACAAAGAAAGGCGATTAAAAAATTGACTAAAAGTGTGCCAAAAAGTGGAAAAACCGACAAAAAAGGACAAAATGAACAAATAGGCAACAATAAAAGGTCACAAAGAAGATGACAAAGCGACGAAAAAGGTGACAAAAAGATCTTTGAACGGACAGACAACGGCACACACTCTTACAATTTCGGCGGTTATCTACCTTATGAATTCCTCACACAGACGTTAAAGGACAGATCTACAACAAGTACACAATATACAAATATACGACAAAGAAATCGACAGATAGACAACGTAAAACAGACAAAGGCCACAAGACAGACAGACAACAGCCATAGGGCAAGCAGACGACAACCATAGAACAGAGAGACAACAGTCATAAGCCAGGTAGGTAATAGCTGTAGAACAGTCAGACAACGACCTTTGGATAAACAGGCAGTGGCCCTAACACAAACAAGTGGTAAATAAATAAGAATCATAAAATAGAACAGACAAAAGTCATAGAACAGACAGACAACGTCCACAGAACAAACATAAACAGTCATACGACAGGCAGACAACAGCCATCAGACAGAAAAGCGACCGAGAAATAACTGTCATAAGATAGATAGCAGCCATAGGACAGTCAACGGTGATTAAACAAACAGACAACGGTCGGAAAACAGAGTGGTGAAGACCTTTGGACCCATAGGCAACGTCCATTGGACAGACTGATAACAACCGTAAGACACAAATAACAACCATAAGACAGACAGGCAACAACCGTACAACAGACAAGCGACAGACAAATGGGAGTAAAAAAACAGACATGCAACAGCCATAAGACAAGTAACAAAAAAAGGCCAAAAAAGCGACAAATAAGGTACGAAAAAAAGGAAAAAAAAAAATAGAAAACATTGACAAAAAAAAATGCGACAAATGTTCACGAAAAAAGCAAAAAAAGGACAACCAAAAAGCAACAAAAGAAATATAACGTAACAACAACTAAAAAAAAATCCGTTAAGAACAAAAGGAGAAACGTAAAAAGGCAAAAGACGTGATAAAGGCAACAAAAAAGGCAAAAACGACAAAAAAAAATAAAAAAAGGACAAAAAACCAAAAAAGACGTCGAAAAATTCGACAAAAGTACACGAAAAATGCAAAAAAGGGCAACCACAAAAGCGTAACATCACTCTAACAAAAAACCTGAAGAAACAAAAAAGAGACGTAAAAAAGGGCTAAAAAATGCAATAAAGACAACAAAAAAAGACAAAAACGACAAAAGACAAAAAGTGAAAAAACACAGAAAGGTAACAATAACAGGTCACAACTGAAAACGCAACGAAAAAACTATGAAAAGTGACAAAAAACCATAAAAACAAAGGCTTTTAGAGAGACAGACAACGGCCATGGAACAGATAGGCAACGGCCGTATGATTGTATGTCCTGCGTCACAGACAAGGACACACAGGCAACGCCCATAGGACAAACAGACAACGGCCATAGGACAGACAGACAATAGCGACAGTACTTACAGATGGATAACAGTCATGGAAGGCAAACAACAGCCACAAGACACACAGGCAACGTTCATTGAACAAACAGACAACGGTCGGAAAACAGGCAGATACAGGCTTTTGGACACACAGGCAACGGGCTTTGAACAGACAGACAACGTCCATTGGACAGACTGATAACAGCCGCTTACGGCTGTGTCTTAACACAGATGACAACAGTAAGACAGACAGGCGACAGACAAATAACAGTCATAAAATAGATAGACAACAGCCATAAGATAGATCGGCAACAGTAACGAACAGACAAGTAATCAAAAAGGGCCAAAAAACATTACAAGCGACAAAAAAGGTAAATAAAAGGTATACAAAAATTGACAAACACAGATGACACAAAAAAAGGCAACGAAAAAAAGGTAACAGAAAAAATTCAACAAAAAAAAGAGAGATAAAAAAGGCTAAAAAATTACAATAAAGGCAACAAAAAAAAACAAAAATGACAAAAAGATCAATCAAGTGACAAAAATATGAAAAAAGCGACAAAGAGGGGACCAAAACAGCAAAAAAGAAAGTGAAAAAAAAAGACAGAAATGTAATAATAAAAGGTCACACAAAATGACAGAGAAAGCAGCAAAAAACTATGAAAAAACCGACAAAAAAGGCCATAAAAAAGGCCTTCTGATAGACAGACAATGACCATAGGACAGACAGACAACGGCCATAGAAGAGACAGACAACGGCGCTATGGCTGAATGTCTTGTGTCAGAGAGGCAATGTCCTTAGGACATACAGACAAAGGCCATAGGACCGAGAGAGAACGGCCTTATTACAGACAGACAAAGGCCATAGGACAGACAGAGACGGCCATAAGACAGACAGAAAACTACCATAGGACAGACAGAAAACGGTCATACACTGTTTTATGGCTGTATGTCCTATGTCACAGACAACGACCTTAGGACACACAGGCAAGGGCCATAGGACAGACAGACAACGGCCATAGAACAGACAGACAACAGCCATTGGACGGCGACAATAGCCATCAGACAGACAGGCAACGGTCATTGAACAAACACGACAACGGTCAGAAAACAGACAGAAAAAGGCCTTTGGACACACAAACAACGTCCATTGGACAGACTGATAACACGCATAAGACACGGGTAACAACCATACAACAGACAGGTGACAAAGAAATAACAGTCATGAAATAGAAAGGCAACAGACATAAGACAGATCGGCAATAGCTATAGAACAGACAAGTAACAAAAAAAAAACAAAAAAATTACACGCGACAAAAAAGGTAAGAAAAAAGAGACAAAAAAAGTATAAAAAATTGACAAAAAAGATGACAAAAAAAACAACGAAAAAAAAAGGGACAGAAAAATCCAATAAAAAAGGGACAAAACAAATGGAGAAAAAGCGAGAGGCGAAAAAAGATTCGAAAGAAGACGAAAAGTGAAAAAAAAGACGTCGAAAAATGCGACAAGAGTCCACAAAAAATGCAAAAAACGGCAATCAAAAAAGCGACAAAAGAAATATAACAACAAAAAAAAACCTTAACGACAAAAAAAGAACGTAAAACGGGCAAAAAATTGTAATAAAGGCAACAAAAAAGATCAAAACGACAAAAAAGTGAAAAAATGCCAAAAAGGCCAAAAAGCCGTCGAAAAATGCGACAAAATTCCACGAAATATGCAACAAAGGGTAACCAAAAATGCGACAAATGAAATGTAACATAACTACAACAAGAAAGAGGCCTTAAGAATCAAAAAAAGAAACGTAAAAAAGGCTCAAAAATTGCAATAAAGGCAACAGAAAAGACAAAAACGACAAAAAAAGTGAAAAAAAATTGCCAAAAGACCAAAAAGTGAGAAAAATATGAAAAATACGACAAAAAAGGGACCAAAACAGCAAAAAAAGTAAAAAAAAAACAATTGAAGATAACAATAAAAGGTCACAAAACGATGACAGAAAAGGCAGCAAAAAACTCTGAAAAATGCGACAAAAAAGGCCTTTTGACAGTCAGACAACGGTCTTATGGCTGTATGTCCTATGTCAAAAAGACAACGTCCCTAGGACAGACCGACAACGGCCATAGAACAAACAGACCACGGCCTAATGGCTGTATATCCTGTCAGAGACGGCGGCCTTAGGACAAACAGACAACGGCCATAGGACAGACAGACAACGGTCATCGGACAGACAGATAACGGCCATGGGACAGACAGACAACGGTCATAGAACAGACAGACCACAGTCCTATGGCTGTATGTCCTGTCACAGACAACCTTAGGACACGCAGACAACGGCCAAAGGTCAGACAGACAGAGAACGGCCACAGTACAGACAACGTTCACACGACAGACAAACAACTGTCATCGAACAGATAGACAACAGTCATAGGAAGGCAGACACAAGACAGACAGGCGACGGTCACCGAAAACACACAGATAAAGGCCTTTGGACACACCGACAACGTCCATTGGACAGACTGATAACAGCCTTAAGACACAGATAACAACCATAAGACAGACAGGCGACAGACAAATAACAGTCACAAAATAGACACGCAACAGCGATAAGACAGACAAGTAACTAAAAAAGGCCACAAAAAATATTACAGACGACATATAAGGTAAGAAAAAACGGTCAAAAAAATACAGAAAAAATTGACAAAAAAATGAGACCAAAAAGACAACGAAAAAAGTGGAAAAAAAAACGAAAGACGAAAATATTCAAAAGGAGACGAAAAGCGAGGAAAAAAGACAAGAGTCCACGAAAACTGCAGCAGGGCAACCAAAAAAGCGACAATAAATATAACAAAAACAAAAAATGCCCTTAAGAACAAAAACGGAACGTAATACAGAAAAAAAAATGTAATAATGGCAACAAAAAAAGACCAAAACCACAAAAACGTGAAAAAAATGACAAAAAAGACCAAAAAGTATGTAGAAAAATCCAACAAAAGTCGACGAAAAATGTAAAAAAGGGCAACCACAAAAGGGACAAAAGAAATGTAACATAACAACAACAAAAAAAAGGCGTTAAGCACCAACAAGAGATGTAAAAAATGCTACAAAACTGCAATAAAGACAACAAAAAAAGACAAAAACGACCAAAAAAGTGAAAATCCGACAAAAAGAGTAAAACAGTGATAAAAAATATGAAAAAACGATAAAAAAGGGACTAAAACAGCAAAAAAGTGAAGGTAACATTAAAAGGTCACAAAAAGATGACAAAAAAATCGGTTGTCTGTAAAGTCGGTTTACTGACGATAGTTGAACGTGACAACGTCTTAAGAAAATAATTTATTAAAATTTCTTAAATTTTGATTTTATTATTTTAATAATATAATTAAATTTTTTCAATAGTCACTTAATTATTTTTGCAAATTAAATTGTAATTTGTTATAAAAAAGTAATAATTTCAAATAATTCATTATAAGAATAAACAATGATTAAATTATTGTTTATAAATCTTACATTTAAAATTTAAAATTTGGAAACATTAAGATTTTCGTAAATCTAGTGTTTAAAAAGCCCGCCTCAATGTGTTTGATATAGGAGAAAATGTTCCCTTTGACGGCTGGCTGGTCCAACCTGTAATTTCAGACACGTTGTTGTGATATGTGGAAGATTTAATATTTATGTTTTAATTTTTTTAAATCATAGCTACGCTCGAAAATTATTTCGATTAAATAGTAAAGCCATCGATTTTTTACTCATCGTGAAATAGTTCTGTTAACTTATTGTTTTAATTTTGTCGCGTTCTCGCTTGCACTTCAAGCCTTACATGGAACGCCTCAGAGCGAGGTAACGCCGCATGAGTCACATGGAACGCCTCAGAGCGAGGTAACGCCGCATGAGTCATGTTTTTTCGTGCGTGCAGCCGGCTCAATCGAATTATAAGACGTTGTCACGTCAAAAAGGTAACAAAAAACTACGAAAAATCGACAAATAAAAACAAAGGTCTTTGGACAGGCCAGATACATAACGGCCATAGAACAGACCGACAATGGCCATAGGACAGACGGCCAACAAATACCGAATTACTGTTAACGAGTGAAGCAAATTTTTGTGTTGGCAATTCTGAATTATTGGCAGCAGTGCTAGTATGTCAGTTGCCAACCTGACAAAAAAAATCACAAACATTGCAGTCATTCGAGATAAGACAGACGGACAACCGCCAAAAATGTGAACTTTTCTTGCATTTATGTTGGCATCATGGGAGGAATTGTGTTTTGGGTACATGTTACAATTAAAAATGTCAACAATCTGTCAGTCTTGATAGCTGAAAACCAGAAATTTGAGAAAACATCATGATACCAGTTTCAACTAAAAATCCAGGATTGCCAACAGAGTTTTTTTTTGTACTTTGCTGTGGGTTGATCGTAAGACAAATCTGCTGTAACAATTATACTAAAAACAGTGTAATTCATTTTTCTAAGGTTGGCACTATTAAACCGGTTGTGCATTTTTTTTTTTCATAAATTTGGCGTGATTTTACATGAAGCAAATTGTTCATTGGATTTACACAATCAAGCATAGAATTTGGATTTAAAACTAAACTGCAAAAACCACAAACTGACCTAGAAAATAAAAAAAATTGTATTTTAGTGTGCAATATGTTCGCACTAGTACATTTATTGACTATAAAGACGAAAAAATTCCTAAAAACATAATTGTTTTCTCCCTTTTGGGCAATTTCTCAACACCATAAATATGCTCCTCATAATAACAAAATATCTTGTTTATAATCTCAATTATTAACCCTGAAACAACTCGGCTTTCAACCGACCAAAAAACCATCAACCTTGTTAATTCTCACTCTATGAAGTAATAACGTGCGCACATAGGCTTTCAAAAACAACAAGAAAAAAACCCACATGACATAAAAATACTTTATTAGAAAAAAACGCACACAACATCAGCGTGCATTTAAACACTATCCCATCAAACCTGACACTTGTTACGCCACTGCCCGCTCACCTCCATTATGCAACCTAAAATTATGCAAATCTCCCAAGCATAACACTTTGATTCGCCGAGATTAAGGAAACGTCCGACCCCCGAACGAGAAAATTTGACACAAAACTGCCATTTCCCTCAATTATCTCGACAAAAACAACGCAAGCAAAAATTTTCATCACGGAAATTTCTCAATAGACCCGCGGCGAAAATTACACCATCGCTCAAACTAGACCGTTGTCGAAACATAATTGTATGCAATTTTACCAAAGTCGCAACAAAAAAAAAAGCAAAATAGGTGTCATTAGAATTTCCCGGTCAAGTGTCATTCCGTCAGTTGGGTTCAGGTTATCCCGATCAATTATGTCACCTTCGTATTTTTAGTCAACAAGGTGATGTTTACTGTGGTAACGCACGCCAGATAGGAGATAAGTGTTTAAATGCGCTCAACTATGTAGGGAAGTTAAGACGTGTCCATCTCGATCGCGTCCTCTGGAAAGAAAAATTAAGAAATGTAGTAAATGCGGTCCTGGTGGTGTTAGTTAATCATAGTCTGAGATCAGAGGCTTGGAATTTGCTTAAAAAAATGGTATTAATGGTTGGTGAGATCTGCGATGGAGCACTATCGCGTCGAGTACAACTTTTTTTTTCCATATGATTATCCAATAAAAAACTGGACTTCGAATTGCCAACTATCTAAACTTGTAGAATTTTATCTTTTCTAATTTGATCTTTTTCAATAATTTTAAAAATTGTTATGACATCGACGTACTTATTTTTTTAACTAATGAACCGATTGTTGTAAAATTTTATATGTGTATTAGAAATATCATATAGATCGTAACACGCTGACAAAATTTAAATAAACATCCCCATCAACAATATGGTGACGTCATCTACAAAATTTGCATTGGTAAATAGTATTTCAATTTTATAAAATAAGATATTCCTTCATAAAAAAAATAAAATTCGCAAATTCAAATGTTACAATTTTTCATTTTTTCATTTCCTTTCGTTCAATATTTTTTTCGATTTCATAATTTTTTGTTTATTCAATTTTTCAAATTTTCAATCTTTGATTACTTGATTTTCCAATTTTTAAAATTTTCAATTTGCAATTTTTGGATTTCCCAATTATTTGATGACTTTCCGATTTCTTTCATTTTAAATATTTCAATTTTACAATATTTCGTTTTTTGAATTTTGCACCTTTTCAAGTTTTCAGTTTCTCAATTTTAATCCTTCGATTTTCAATTTTTCGTTTCTTGAATTTTTCAAGTTCCTGATTTCAAATTTTTGACATTTTTTAAAGTATTTCATTTTTCAATTTTAAAATCTTGCAATTTTTCCATTTTTTTGATTCGCTAAGTTGAAAAATCGAAAAATTGCAAATAGAAAAACCGAAAAAACGAAAAATTGCAAAATCAAAAATTGAAAAAAAAACGAAAAATAAAAACCCAAAAATTTCAACTTCTAGATTTATTAATTTTTCGTTCTCTCAGTTTTAGATTTTTTCAAATTATAAAATTAAAACATTGAAAACTCGAAAAATTGAAATAATAAGGAAAAGAAAAAAGTGACATGAAAAAATGTTAATCGAAAAATTGAAGAAATGAAAAACTGAAAAATCGAAAACTCGTGAAATTGCAAATCGAAAAATTGAAACATCCAACAGTTGGAAAATTGAAAAACTGAACAATTTTAAAATAAATACTTGAAGAGTTGCACATCGTAAAATTAAAGAAACAAAAATGCAAAGTTAAAAAATTGCAAAACTAAGAACTGAAAAAATTTAAACTAAAAAAACAAAAAATTATAACATGAAGCATTGAAAAATCGAATAATTGAAAAAATAAAAAACAAACGAAAAATTTCAAATCGAAAATTTGAAGAACTGAAAAAAAGGAAAATCGAAAAATTAAAAACTCGCATAAATGAAAAAGTTTAAAAATGCAGTAATTGAATACTACAAAAATTCTAAAATCGTAAAATTGAAAAATTGAAAAATCAAATAAATAAAAAAGTTTTAAAATACGTAATACTACAAAAATTCTAAAACTGAAAAATCGAAAAAGTGTAAAATATTTTAAATTATAATTAATTAATTATTACTTCATTACATTAAACATCTAAAATTGAAAACGCGGAAAATTAAAAAATCAAAAATTGAAAAAATTATGAAAATAAAACACTAAACGAAAAATTGCATTTCCAGAAATTGAAGAAATGAAAAATTGAAAAATCAAAAAATTCAAAATCGTGAAATTGTAAATCGAAAAATTGCAAAATCAAAAAATTTTAACTACCAAAGTCGGAAAATCGAAAAACTGAAAAGTTTAAAGATTGAAAAATTGCAAATCGAAAAACTGAAGAAACGAAGAACTGAAAAAACAAAAAATTATAATCGGAAAATTGAAAATCAAAAACTAGTAAAAATAACGAAAATAAAAAATCAAAACCAAAAACCTGAAATCAAAAAGTTGAAGAAATGAGAAATTAAAGAAAATTGAAAACTCGAGAGTGTTGGAGCGAGTATGTGAACAAATAAGAAAAATGAAAAAGCAGAAAAGCGCAAAGAAAAAAATGAAAATTGAAAAAAGTTTTTCATTTGTTCGAAATTTCAATTTTTCAATTTCTCGACATTGAGTGATACAATTTTTTGACTTCACAATTTTGACGATTCTATAACGTTTCGATTTTACAATTTTTGGGTTTTTCAAATTTTCGAAAAATTACAAAATTATGAAATTGAAAAATAAAAAATGAAAAAGTATAAAATTAAAATTAAAAAATCTAAAAATTGGAATTCAAGAAGTTGAAAAATTGAAAAAATGCAAGAAATTAAAGAAATCGGAATGTTAGATGACTGAGAAAACCAAAAATTGCAAAATGGAAAAATTTAAAAATTGGAAAACCGAGGAATCAAAAATCGCAAATTTGAAAAACTGAATAAACAAAAAATTATAACATTTAAAAAATAAAGGAAACAAAAAAATGAAAAATTGTGTATAACATCGAGAAAATGAAAATTAAAAATTGAGAAACTGAAAAACCGAAAAATTGGAATCGAAAAACTGAAGAAACGTATAACGTATAAACACAAAATTATAAAAACGAAAAATTGTAAAAATAAAGAAAATAAAAAACCGAAACAAAAAATTGCAAACGGAAATATTGAAGAAATGAAAAAATGAAGAATCGAAAAACTGAAAAATTAAAAATCGAAAAATTCAAAAGTCGAATAAAATGAAAAAGTTTTAAAATTCAATAACTGACAATTAGAAAATTTCTAAAATCGTAAAATTGAAAAATTAAAATACCGAAAGAACAAAAAATTGCAAAATCGAATAACTGGAAAGTCAAAAAATTGCAAATAGCAATGAAGAAACGAGAAATTGAAACATCGAAAAAATAAAAATCGAAAAAATTAAGAAACTAAAAAAGGAAAACCGAATCGAATCGTAAAGCTGGAAAAACTGAAAGTTAAAATCAAAAAACTGTAACACCGAAAGATCGAAAAATTGTAAAATTAAATATCAAGAAATTGAAAAATTAAAAATCTAAAAATTAAAATTCAAAAAATTGAAAAATCGGATAAATGAGCAAATGACAATTTCTTTAAATCATAATTATTATTACATATCCTAAATTCTAAAATTTAAACTAGAGAAATTGCAAATAAAAAATTGAGAAGTCGAGAAACTGAAAAATCCAAAATTGAAACGAGAAATTAAAAAATCGAAAAATTGAAAACCGAAAAATATATCGAAAAATTTTACGTTGAAAAAAGAGAAATTATAAAATCAGTACATTGAAAAACCGAAAAACTGAAAAATAAAAACCTAAACGTAAAATTGAAGAAATAAATGAAAAATTGAAAAACCGAAAAATTGAAAGGTCTTGAAATTGTAAAGCCAAAAATTGCAAAATCAAAAAATTTTAATAACTAAAAGTTGGAAAACCTAAAAACTAAAAAATTGCAAATCGAAAAATTGAAGAAACGAAATGCCGAAAAAAATAAAATTGCAAAAATAAAAAAAATGAAAAACCAAAACAAAAAACTGCAAATCGAAGATCTGAAGAAATAAAAAATTAAAGAATCGAAAAATTGAAAAGTTAAAAATTGGAAACTCGAGAAATTTTAAAGCGAAAAATTGCAAAATCTAAAAAGTGAAAAAACAAGAAAAATAAAAAATTAAAAAAGTGCAAATCGAAAAACTGAATAACCGAAAAATTGAAAAAATATTTTTCATTTATTCGATTTTTCAGTTTTTCCATTTTAAGTGTTACAGTTTTCGACTTTACAACTTTGACGATTCTATAATTTTTTGACTTGATTCGTTTCATTTCTTTCCAAATTTTCTATTCAATAATTTTTTTCGATTTTTAAGTTTCTCGAATTTTAGTTTTTCAACATAGCAATCTTTCGTTTTTTTCAGTATTCTTTTTCATTTTTTCGTTTCTTGTTTATTGAGTTTAAAATTTAAAATTATGAAGTTTAAAAATAGAAAATGAAAAAACGAAAAAGAATAAAATAAAAACTTTGAAAAATCTAAAAATTGGAAATCCAAAAAATTGAAAAATCGAAATATTGAATTAAAAAAATCGGAAAGACAAATAACTGAGAAATTCAAAAATTGTAAAATTGAAAAATTTAAAATTTGGAAAACCGAGGAATCAAAGATCGAAAATTGAAAAAAATAAAGGAAAAGAAAAAACAAAAAACTGTGATAGAAAATCTGGAAAACGAAAACTTAAAATCAAAAACTTAGAAAACTCAGTAAACGGAAAATTGAAAAATCATAAAATTAAAAATTGAGTATTGAAAAACCGAAAAATGAAAACCTGTAATATCGAAAAATTGAAGAAACGAAAACAGAAAAAACTGAAATTGAAAAAACAAAGAATTATGAAATCAGAGCATTGAAAAATGGAGAGAGAACTTGTAAAAATAAAGAAAATAAAAAACCGAAACGAAAAAATACAAATCGAAAATTTGAAGAAATGAAAAATTAAAGAATCAATTGAAAACTGGGGAAATTTTAAAGCGAAAAATTGCAAAATCTAAAAATTTAAGAAACAAGAAAAATAAAGAAAAATGATAAAAACACAAATCGAAAAAGTGAAGAAATGAAAAATTGGAAAAATATTTTTCACTTATTCGGTTTTCCAATTTTTTGACTTTTAATTTTTCAATTTCTCGGCATTAAGAGTTAATAGTTTTTCGACTTTACAATTTTGGCGATTCTATAATCTTAAATAGAAAATGAAAAAACGAAAAAGTATAAAATAAAAACATTGAAAAATTTAAAAATTGGAAATCAAGAACTTGAAAAACTGAAAACGAAAAATTGAAAAATCGAAATACTGAATTGAAGACATCGGAAAGTCAATTAATTGAGATATCCAAAAATTGCAAAACTGAATAAACAAAAAAAATCGAAAAAACATATCGAAAAATTTCACGTTAGAAAAACAGGAATTAAAAAAATTTCAAAAAAAAACTAAAAATTTTAATAACCAAAAGCCGGAAAATCTAAAAACTAAAAAATTGCAAATCGAAAAACTGAAATGAAAAAACGAGTACCGAAAAAGTTAAAATTTAAAAAAAAAAAACAAAAAATTATAAAATCGGAACATTGAAACATAAAGACAATAAAAACCCAAAACAAAAAACTGCAAATCGAAGATTTGAAGAAATAAAAAATTAAAGAATCGAAAAATTGAAAAATTAAAAATTGAAAACTCCAGAAATTTTAAAGCGAAAAATCGTAAAATTTAAAAAGTGAAAAAACAAGAAAAATGATAAATTAAAAAAGTGCAAATCGAAAAACTGAATAAATGAAAAATTAAAAAACTATTTTTCATTTATTCGATTTTTCAGTTTTTCGATTTTGAGTGTTACAGTTTTCGACTTTACAATTTTGACGACTCTATAATTTTTCGACTTGATTCGTTTCATTTCTTTCCAATTTTTCGACTCATTAATTTTTTCGATTTTTATGTTTCTCGAATTTTGATTTTTCAATATTTCAATCTTTCGTTTCTTCAATTTTTTTTTTAATTTTTCGTTTCTTGTGTACTCAATTTTTTCCGATTTTTTTCTTTTTCTATTTTTAATTTTCCGAGTTTTCAACTTTTCGAATCAAAAAAATTTAAAATCATGAAGTTGAAAAATAGAAAATGAAAAAACGAAAAAGAATAAAATAAAAACTGAGAAATCCAAAAATTGTAATATTGAAAAATTTAAAATTTGGAAAACCGAGGAATCAAAGATCGAAAATTGAAAAAAATAAAGGAAAAGAAAAAACAAAAAACTGTGATATAAAATCTGGAAAACGAAAAATTAAAATCACAAACTTGGAAAATTGAGGAAACGGAAAATTGAAAAATCATAAAATTAAAAATTGAGTATTGAAAAACCCAAAAATGAAAACCTGTAATATCGAAAAATTGAAGAAACGAAAACTGAAAAAACTGAAATTGAAAAAACAAAAAATTATGAAATCAGAACATTGAAAAATGGAGAGAAATTGTAAAAATAAAGAAAATAAAAAACCGAAACGAAAAAATACAAAGAAAGAAGAAATGAAAAATTAAAGAATCGAAAAATTGAAAACTGGGGAAATTTTAAAGCGAAAAATTGCAAAATCTAAAAATTTAAGAAACAAGATAAATAAAGAAAAATCATAAAAACACAAATCGAAAAAGTGAAAAAATGAAAAATTAGAAAAGTATTTTTCACTTATTCGGTTTTTCAATTTTTTGACTTTTAATTTTTCAATTTCTCGACATTAAGAGTTAATAGTTTTTCGACTTTACAATTTTGGCGATTCTATAAATTTTAAATAGAAAATGAAAAAACGAAAAAGTATAAAATAAAAACAGAAAAATTTAAAAACTGGAAATCAAGAAATTGAAAAACTGAAAACGAAAAATTGAAAAATCAAAATACTGAATTAAAGAAATCGGAAAGTCAATTAATTGAGATATTCGAAAATTGCAAAATTGAATAAACAAAAAATTAAAAAATCGAAAAATTAAAAACTGATATATTGAAAAACTGAAAAATTGCAAAATCGGAAAATTGAAAAACCAAAAATTGAAGAAACGAAAAACTGAAATAAACTGAAATTGAAAAAACAGAAAATTATAAAATCGGAAGATCGAAAAATCAAAAAATTGTAAAAATAAAGAAAATATAAAACTGAAACGAAAACTACAAATCGAAAAATTGAAGAAATGAAAAATTGGAAAAGTATTTTTCATTTATTCGATTTTTCAATTTTTGACTTTTAATTTTTCGATTTTTAATTTTTTTAATTTCTCGATATTAAGCGTCATAGTTTTCCAACTTTACAATTTTTCGATTCGAATCGTTTTTTCTTCTTTCCAATTTTTCAATTCACTAATTTTTTTAGATTTGTAAGTTTCTCGATTTTTACTTTTTCAATGTTTCAGTCTTTCGTCTTTTCAATTTTCTAGTTTTTCAATTTTGCAATTTTTCGTTTTTTCAATTTTTCAACTTTTCGAATAAAAAAATGGAAAGACTGCAAAATTATAATACTGAAAAATAAAAAATGAAAAAACAAAATACTACAAAATAGAACGTTTCTCGAATTTTGGTTTTTCAATGTTCCAATCTTTCGTCTTTTGCAATTTTTCGCTTTTTGTTTTTCGATTTTTCAACTTTTCGAATCAGAATAATGCAAAATTCTAAAATTGAAAAATAAAAAATCAAAAAACGAAAAAGTACAACATAAAAACTTTGAAAAATCAAAAAAATGGAAACTAAGACCTTGAAAAAATTGAAAAATTTAAGCTTAAAAACCCGAAAAAAACAAACATTTAAGAAATGAAAAATTCAAATAAAAAAACTGCGGGAATGTGATTTACATCACTGGTTTTTACTTTCTAGAGGTCATCAGAAAACAAAAATGGCAAAAAAATTTGTTCTGTCGAAATAACCTCAGACCATTTTTTTTTTCCAAAAATGGAAATGAACTTCCAAACCCGGCTTTACTTTTCCGAGCCTCCGAACCCAAACCACCGCAAACCCACTCACCTTCATTAAACATAAACTCCTGCTGATACTCCTTCAAGAACTGCACCGACCGCCCCTCGTCGAAGAACAGCTGATACGCCCTCTTGATATCCTCGACGTCCACCTCCGCCGCCTTCCTCTTCCTCGCTATCAAACTCGAAGTCATGATCAGCTGCATCCCGTACCTCAGGGACGTCTCCTTCGAGATTCGCGTCAAAACCGTCAGCGCATTGTCGGACATCTGACAGTCCTCCTCCTCGCAGCGGATGCTCAGGATCTCCCTCAGCTCCTTCTCTTCGTAGGGAGAGGTGGGCACTATGATCATCCTGTCGAGCAGGTCCAGGGGGATGCCGTGCGGGGACTTGTAGTTGGTGCCCCTGATCCGCGTGATGCCCCGGTTGGTCGCCATGATGACGATCGGCGCCATTTCGTTCTCGAGGGCGCGGTTGAGGAAGGAGAAGCACTCGATGTCGAGCATGTGGACCTCGTCGATGAAGAGCACGCCGGGGATCATCTCGGCTTTGCCTTCTTCGCGCCATTCGGCCACTTTGCCGTTGATTTGCTCGCGGACCTCGGGTTTGATCTCGCCGGTGTCGCCTGGCAGAAGGAAAAGTAAGAGTTTCGGTTGAAGATACTAAACTCGTTCCGTTCGCAGGCAAAAGCATAAAGTGTCATTCAATTTCTTATTATTTTTTTTTTCTGAAGTAACCCAGACGATTGCCAAAAAACTGGTGCCCGAGTCTAACATCGTTGCAATCTGCTGGGGTATTTTTTACACTATTTTAAATTTCCATTCTAATTAATGCATAAGTGTAAGAACTTCTCTCGTCCCTGAATTATTACAATCAAACAAATCTAATTTCTTATATAAATTATAAAATTTGATTTTGTGAATTTTATTTTTTTAGTGATAATCCTTATTAACTTAAAACAAGGATGTATGAATTGTTAAACTAGAAGTAAAGAAGTAAAGTGCGTACGATTCAACAAAATTCAAAATAACCAAAAAGAAGGTTAAAAAAGGTACGGACAAAAAAAAGGTAAAAAAAGGAGATAAAAAAATGACAAATCCACTGAAAAAGGTAGCAACCAAAAAAAAAAAGAAAAATGCTCACAAAAAGGACTACAAGGTGACAAAAAAACACAAAAACAAACAATTAACAAAAGGGACCGAAATGCCGACAAAAAGTCCACAAAAATGTAAAAAAGCACCCCACAAGAAAAAAAATAAAAACACAACAAGAGGGAAATAAGAGACCAAAAAAAGACATTAAAAAACACGACAAAAAAAGTTTTAATAAAGGCGATCAAAAAACGAAAAAAGAGACTATAAAAAAGAGACCAAAGAAGGGACAAAATAAACACAGAAGAAACCAAAATAACGATAAAAACGGAAAAATGACAAAAAATGCCACTAAAAAAAGGCTCTGAAAAAGTGAAAAAAACATACAAAAGCTAACAATAAAAGGCCATAAATAAGATCACAAAAAAATGTGACAAAAAAGGTACAAACATTGCCATACTAAAGGACGAAAAAAAATCTCTAAAAATGGGGCAAAAAGCAACATAAAAAAAAGGTAACGACAAAAAAATTATAAAAGAGAACCCTAAAAATGGAATAAAAGGCAATAAAATCGTGATAAATAAACGACACAATAGGAATCGAAAGAAAAAAACAAAAAAGGCGATAAAATAGAACTAAAAGAGCGATAAAAGCTGAAAGAAAAAACAAAAAACGCAACTACATATATAAGGCAACGAAATAGATGACAAAGCAACAAAAGGAAAAAAAATACAGAAAATGCGGGAAAAAAGGCGCTAAAAAAAGAGATAAAAAATTTTATAAAAATGTAATGCATAATAAAGTTCCGTTAACAAAAAAATCTACAAAAAAAGGACGAAAATGCCAAAAAGGGACCAAAAGGGCGACAAAAAAGTAAAAAAAAAGCGATAGAAAAGGACCCAGAAATATAAACGACAAAAAAAGCGATAACGTGAAAATAAACTAGAAAAAGGCGATAAAAAAGACCAAAAGAGCGAGATAAAAATAAATACACGACATTAAAAGTTCTAAAAAAATGCCAAAGGTACAAAAATAGGTGCCAAAAAAAGGCGACAGAAAAAAATCCACAACAAAAGCTGAAAAAGGCGAACGACACAAACTGTCCATAAAAACAACACAGAGGCGATAAAAAAACAAAAAAAGGCGTTAACAATACGATACCAAAAAAAAGCGAAAAATGGTGATAAACAAGCAGTAAAAAAGGCAATAAAAAAGAAACCAAAAAAACGACAACACAGGGAAACGTAAAAATAAACTACAAAAAAGCGATAAAGGACTAAGAGAGAGAGACAAAAATAATAAAAGCACAACGTTAAAAGAGAAAAAAATGGCGAAAGTACAAAAATAGGTGACAGAAAGAAAAATAATCCACAACAAAAGGTGAAAAAGAGCCACAAAAACGGGACAAAAAAGTGAAAAACGCGATTAAAAGGTAACAAAAGTCTACAAAATATGCCAAAATGGCGATAAAAAGTTTTTAAAAACGCCAAAAAGGGACCAAAAAAATTTAAAAAAGCGCTAGGAAAGGACCAAAATAGCGACAAAAAACGAAAAAAACACACACAAAGGCAACAACAAAAGCCTACAAAGATGATAAAATGATAAAAAAATGGTATGCTAAAAAAAGGCGACAGAAAAAAGTCCATTTAAAAAAAAAATAGCAAAAAAGTGACGAAAAAACACGATGAAATGAAAAGCGACAGAAAAAGCTCCAAAAAAATAAAAAAAGGACAAAACAACGAAAAAAAATACGACAAAAAAGGGCCGAAATAGCGAGAGAAAATACCAAAAACACAATATTAAAAAACCCAAAAAAATTGCGAAGGTACAAAAATAGGCGACAAAAAGGCAACAAAAGATGAAAAAGGGTCATAAAAACTGGACAAAAAGATAAACAAAAAAGCGATAAAAAGTCACAAAAAAGTCTAAAAAAACGACGAAAAAAATAGCAAAACAACAACAAAAAAAACTTTGAAAGCTAAAAAAGGGACCAAAAGAGCGACAAAAAAGTAAAAAAAAGCGATAGAAAAGGAACCAAAACAGCGACAAAAAACGAAAAAACACAAAAAAAGGCAACATATATATTTAAAATGAAATATAGAAAAATTACAAAAAGAAAATTGAAAAAACGAATAATTAAAAAAATCTAAAAATTGAAAAAAAAGAAAAATTGAAAAAATAAAAAATCGAAACGAAAAATTGTAAATCGAAAAATTGAAGAAATGAAAAATTGCAAATTCTAAAAATTGAAACATCCAAAAGTTGTAAAATGATAACCTCAAAAATTTAAAAATGAAAAATTGCCTTGAAGTTAAAAATCAAAAATTTAATTAAAATCGTCATTGAAAAATCGAAAAATTAAAAATTGAAAACTCGATAAAATTTTAAAGGGAAAAATGAAAAAACGAAAACGCGCAAATCGGAAAATTGAAGCAACGTAAAATTAAAAAAATAAAGAAAATAAAAACCGAAACGAAAAATTGAAAAATTAAAAATTGAGATCTCGACAAACTAAAATCTAAAAAATCTAAAAGTTGAAAAATTCAAAAATTGCAAAAACCGACAACAAAAAACCGAAAAAGAGACCTTAAAAAAGCGACCAAAAGAGGGACAAGAAACGCAAAACACTCCAAATGAGCGATAAATACTCTAAAACTACTCAAAATGCTTTAGAAAAGGGCGCCAAAGAATTGAAAAAAAACACAAAAAACAAACAATAACAAGGCTACAAATAAGATGACTAAGTCACAAAAAAAAATGAGACAAAAAAGGTGCAAACAATGCGATGATAAAAAGCAACACAAAATTCCCAAAAATACGATAAGAAAAATAGCCACAAAAAAACGAAAAAACACAAAAAGGCAACAACAGAAGCCTACAAAGATGACAAAACGACAAAAATAGCGACAAAAGCTCCAAAACAATAAGACAACAAAAGGCGAAGAGGACTAAAAAAAGAGAAAAAAACTGATAACAAAGGCAACAAATGTAACAAAGAAAGCAACACAAAAAAGTTCATTCAAAAACGATAAAAAATATCATAAAAAGGCATCAAAAAACGGACAATTGAAAATGAACAAAAAAAAGTCGACGGGCAAGAGCAAAAAAGGGATCGAAAAAGTGAAAAAAAAAATAAAGGGAAAAAAAGTGAAAAAATCAACAAGCGATTAAAAATGGACCGAAATAACGACCAAGTAGGTCAAAAAAAAACGTGAAAAAGACCAAAAGCGATAAAAAAGTGAAAAATCCGACAAAAATGCGGCAAAAAATTGATAAAAACGACAAACTGCAAACAAAAACACAAAAAAACCAACAATTAAAGGCAAACAAAGAGCTACAAAAATTCTAGAATAGGCATAAAATGGCGCTAAAAAACGGAGCAAAACAATGGACATAAAAAAGACCATTAAAAAAATCGCAAAAATAAAGTAAGAAAAAATTATGAAAAAAGACGACGAAAAAAAAGGTGACAAAAAATTAAAAATTCACAAAAAAAAACAAGAAAAAAAATCGATAAAATGAGACAAAATGCTGAAACTAACAAAAAGTGACATAAAACAACAAAAAAATCTACTAAAAAAAAAGAACAAATAGGCCAAAACAATTAAAAAAGGGAGTCGGAAAGCGACCAACAAGTCCACAAAAAGGCAACAAAAGAAAAGTGACACAAGAAACTGCAAAAAAGTTTTTAAAAAAGCGACATAAAACCAACAAAAAAATACAAAAACCGAAAAAATGTAATAAAAAAAAAGGAGTAAAAAGGCGGCAAAAAGTTAAATAAAGCGACACGAAAAAGACCATTTAAAAAAAAGGCCAAAAACAGTTACAAAAAAGCGGACAAATTTGCGGTTTCAAAATTACACCAAAAATTTGTTTTGACAATTCCGATTTTCTTTTTCAAAAAATCTAGATCAAGAAAAAAATAAAAGCGGGTTAATATGTACCGAAGAAGGTTATTTCGTAAAATTTAAGTAGCATTTACTTTGCAAAACTTTAGGATGATGTCATCAAATTGTTCGTAGAGATGACCAGATATAGGTATATTGGTAACCATCTACGATTTTCCTAAAACGTAACTAAAATTTCACAACAATCTGTCTAGTAATTTCGAAGATTGCTAATTTTTACACTCTATTAATGAATTGCCACTGTTATATGTTTATTTGGTTTGTTGCATTAATTAAGCTATTTATAAAAGTTGAAAGGAAGGAATTCGATAATCGAAAATACATACATATATGAATAATTGATAATTGAGAGAAAATTCCATTTTGTGTTCCTTTTGTGTCTGATACTATTTTCTCCGTTTTTAATAAAAAATCCAACTTTGTGAAAATATACAAGGTGTTAAAAATGCATCTATAGTATCTATTAAGTATTGAAACGAAACGAAAATCATTACATTTTAAATTATAACCTCAAATGACGTCAACAGACACCTGAGAGTGGGGCCACCTTGTATATATGAATAAGTGGGAAACACTACGAAAATCCTTCCAGTCTAAATTCAAAATTTAAGTTTTACTCAAAAAACTAAAATACTAAATAAAAAATTGGTCTAAAGAGTTTAGACAGTACTTCCCTCGCTGTCGGAAACTTGACGACTGCATGCCTATTGTGTTTTTTTTTCTCATTACATTTTTGTAGTGGGAATTTAAAAAAAAATTGCGATGACGTCATCAACATTTTTGCAAGGACACGTATATCAGTTGGGATAGATGTAGTGTAATACTAAGAATAAAATTATTATATTCTCAAATTTTCGGGAAAATGAATTGGGTCGTTTGAATATTGATTTGTAATAATCAATAAAATAACGAAACAATTTACTCACGTATACCTACGCATCAGAGGCAACTAAAAATCGTGTATGTATAAACATTGTTAATTTAAGATGACAGGCGTAACAGCATACGTGAGAGCCAAACACAGAAACTGTAAACAAAACGACCGTCGGTTTTATTGCTTCGACTTCCGCTTATTATATAAAACATTGGGTTTTATTTTAATTCTTAACGGTGAAATTCACAATTGGTTGATTATAAACATGTCTATTTCACATTCGCGGAACCAAGTGAACGCATAAAACAAATGCAGGTCTGTAATGTTAAAGTCGATGTAAATAAGCGTGCTACCCTTATGTTTCAACCGAGTTTTTCCTTTAACAAATTTTGTGTCTACCAAATTGGGTTGGTTGGGGTGTAATACTAATAATAAGTGTTGCCTTTAATTTAATCAATAAAATAAATTGACTTCATTAATTTTTTTGAACCACCTCTTAAGAAAATCTAAAAAATATGAATGGAATGATAAATCACAAGTACAAACTCATCATATTTTTTGCATTTTAGATAGGATTTATTCAGCAAAATTTAAGGGTGACGTCATCAATTTTTTTAGGAGGGATGAACAAATACATTTTGAACAAAAGTTTACCATGCTTATAATAACTTTAAAATATTCCCAAGATTTCAAAGCATTCGGTTTTGTAATTCCTGATTAAATCGATAAAATAAATTCACGCCTTCATTAATTTTTTTCAGTCACCCTGCATATGCAAATCCAAAAATATGAATGGAATGATAAATCACAAGTACAGACTCATCATATTTTGTACATTTTAGATGCGATTTATTCGGAAAACTTTTGAGCTGACGTCATCAGTTTTTTGTAGAAGATAACCAAATATATTTTGACTAAAAATTTATTATGCTCTTTATAACCTTAAAACATCTGCAAGATTTCAAAGCATTCGGTTTTGTAGTTCCTGATTAAATCAATAAAATAAATTTACGCATTCATTAATTTTTTTGAGTCACTCTGTATATGCAAATCCAAAAAATATGAATGGAGTGATAAATGACAAGTACAGGCTCATCATATTTTGTACATTTTAGATATGATTTATTCGGCAAACTTTCGAGCTGACGTCATCAATTTTTTGGAGGGGATAAGCAAATATATTTTGACTAAACATTTATTATGCTCTTTATGACCTTAAAACATCTGCAAGATTTCAGAGCATTCGGTTTTGTAGTTCCTGATTAAATCAATAAAATATATTTACGCATTCATTAATTTTTTTGAGTCACCCTGTATATGCAAATCCAAAAAATATTAATGGAGTGATAGTTCACAAGTACAGACTCATCATATTTTGTACATTTTAGATATGATTTATTCCACAAACTTTTGAGCTGACGTCATCAAGTTTTTGGAGGGGATAAGCAAATATTTTTTGACTAAAGATTTATGATGCTCTTTATAGCCTTAAAACATCTGCAACATTTCAAAGCATTCTGGTTAGCAGATTAAAAATTAAATTTCAAAATGTTGTTTTATAATTTTGATTTTTTTTCCAAAAATCTGGACGTTTCGGGTGAAAAGTCGATTCAGAGTTGTAAACTACATGTGTAGGACTATGTTATTTTATACAATTGAAAACCCATTTACTATGTACAATTTTGAAGTGACGTCATCGCTTTAGTGGTGGGGATGATTCGACAAATTTTGGTTAGCGTTTTACCATCTACATGATATTCTTAATATAAGTACAAAATTTCACAACAATCGGTCGAGTACTTTCGGAGATTATCTGTCTAATAAAAATCCGTGACAACAGACGGACAGACGGACAGACGGACAGACGGACAGACGGACAGACGGACAGACAGACGGAAATGGGAGACCTATTTCTTCGTCTTCTAGGGGTCATGAAAGATCGAGAAAACGTAAAAGTAGAGAGTCGGCCGACGGACTCGATTACAATACTTCCTTTGCTTACGCTCGGGAAGTAAAAATTACAGAGAATAAAGCATCATATACATGAAATCTTTTTCATCTATATACAACTTTCTTAACTGACTTAACCACGCACTTTCGCTTTTACGGAGCGCTCAAATTCCAAGTAACCTTAACGGAACGAGCATAGACCACACAAAAAACTACTTTTATTGCAAAATTGCCCAACACAGGCCTAAACATTCAAATTACCGGAAAACAGCGCCAGGAATCCGTGAGTGCGGCTGTTGATGACGTCGATCTCGTGCAAGGTCACCGTGTGTACGACTTCCTTCCGCTTCTGCAACTCGCCCTCGGGACACTGCACGAATCTGGTTTGTTGGCCTGTGGCGTCGTAATCGCGAGCTCTCGCGAACGACCTACCCAAACGTGTGATTTTTCCTGGATTGAAACGTTATAAATGTCTGATTGTATAATTGACGAGGTGCGACAAACCTGTGGCCTTGTCTATGGTGATGACGTCGCCGGACTGCACTTTCTCTTTGAGGATGCTGTCGATCATCTTGCCGCCCAGGTCGTAGACGGTTTCCATTTCGGTCGTTTTTAGGATGAGTTTGCCGACTTTCGTGCCGACGCCTGTTGCTGGACGCTCGATCTGGACCTCTACCACTTCGCCCTCGATGATTTCGCTCTCCTCCCTTAAATCAAGAAGGCGGAATTTAAAAAATGAAACGGGTCTTTTGCGTCGCTTTTAGTTACAGTTGTTTGGCCAAAACTGAGTTTTAAAATGTGCCAATTAAAACAAATAAAAAAGTCAATGCTACTTGAAATTTCAAACCCTACTCATCGCTTGAAACTTTTTTAATAAAATTTGGTAAAAAAAAAGAAAAATTGGCAGAATTTCCACAAAACAAGAAAAATTATATGATTTTCCAAAATAAACATTGTTTTCTGGATGTTCTTTGCAAACTTTAACGCAAACGTATTATCATCCCCGCCACACCGAAAATCTCAAAAAAACGGAAGAACTCATTATAACGGCTTGTAATTAAATGATAAGTATAAAATGCATAGGTAACTTAAATAGTTTGTTACGTACATTAATAAGTTTGTTCAGTAAGTATTAAAATAAAACCTGACCAGTACAATGTGCAAGTATTTAATTGTGCTGTGTTTAGTAAAAATAATAGATGTTCAGTAGAAATGCTAGAGTGTCTGGTTGACCTAATTGGCGATGGAACGTTTTAATGAATACCCATATTTAGTAAAAAATAGTAATCTATAAGTACACAGTAATAGTAACAGTAGGTAGGAAACAATATTTTTAACAAATATTTTTATTGGAAAAATAACAAAATCCTATACATTGTTCTTTATAAAAATTTACATAAAATTTTAAGAAAAAAAAAAAGATCACATTTAAATATAGAATACACTTTCATGTATAAAAAAAAATAAAAATAAACAGTAAAATAATAATAATAATAAACATTCTTCATTGTTTCAATTATAACAAATAAATGATTCTATATAATAAAGATTAACATGCATATTTTAACAAAATAATGAGGTTATGTATCATGTGTGGGTGTTAACTATAAAGAACATCATAATTTTCTAACAAACCTGTTCAATTTCTATTGAACGTCTATGATTTCTACTGTATATCCAACATTATTAACTAAGCTTTCGTTATTTTTACAGGACAATAGTTTTATTTACTGAACAAAATTAATAATATACATAACCTCCATGATAAAAACATATCGTTAAAATTAGTTACTGTAACAAAAAATTTGTTATATGACATTTATATTTTCCACTGAACAATTGTATAATATATCGGTAAAGGTAACTTGTCGAAAAAATATTATACTAAGCAGAATATTTTTACCGCATTATAACACTAAAATAACAAAAAAAAAATACACGAAGAAAGTTGTGACAATAAATAACAGCAAAAAAAGATAGAAACACATACTTATTCTTGTTTGTTCTATGGTGGAATTATAACAAAAATTAGCAAAAAACTACTTAAAAAGAATTTCCATAATATATAAAAGAACAAGAAATATATTCACTAGCGAAAATCAAGAAAACGTGAGATAAACAACAAAAGACAGAAAGAACAATCGAAAATAATACGTGGAAATTGTAAAAAGAAAACAGCGTGAGGGAAACAAGGTTATGAACAGTGGGGACGAAAAATCTTTGGAGAGTACAAAAATAATTCAAGTATGGAAGAAAAGAAAATGAAATGACGTATTAAAAAAAAAGATGGCAAAAAGAAACATCAGCACCAAAGTGTGGAAAAAAAAGAAATTAGGAAAAAAAGAAGTTGAACGGTAACACAGAGAATAAGAGAGAGAAAATAAAAAGAAACAAAAAAAAACAATAAAAATAAGCATGAAAAACAAAATTAAAGAAGCACAAAAATCTATAAAAGAAAATATAATTAATATAAATATGGATGACACACGGGAGAAGGGGGGGGGGAGGGGGAGATACGGGGTAAAAGAAACGGCAGGGAGAAGGGGACGAGAGGGGAGAGGAGAGAAGGAGAGCGAGAGGAAAGGTAGAGAGAAAACAAGAAAAGGCAAAGAAAAGAAAGACGCAAAAAAGAAGCTAAGGGGCCAAGAAGAGAGAGATGAGAGAGGGAGAGATGAGAGAGAGAGAGATGAGAGAGAGAGAGATGAGAGAGAGAGAGATGAGAGAGAGAGAGATGAGAGAGAGAGAGATGAGGAGAGAGATGAGAGAGATGAGAGAGAGAGAGAGAGAGAGAGAGAGGGGGGGGGGGAGAGAGGTGAGGAAGAGGCGAGGAAGAGGTAAAGAAGACGCAAAGCAGAGAGAAAAGAGGGACAAAAAGAGTAAAGAGAACGAGCGAAGGAGCAATAAAAGAGAGAGAAAAGGGGCAATAGAACATAGAAAAAAAGGGCAATGGAAGAAAGAGAGAGGAGGCAATAAGAGAGAGATAGAGAAGAGGCAATAAGAGAAAGAGTGAGGAGGCGATAAAAGAGAGAATAGGCAATAAGAGAAAGAGAAAAAACAATAACAGAGGGACGAGAGGCGATGAAAGAGATGAGAGGCAATAAGAGCGACGAGATGCAAAAGAGCGAGACCAGAGACAATGAGAAAGAGAGACTAGATAAAATAAAACAGGGTGACGAAAGACTTAAGAGAGAAAAAGACGAGAGACTTAAGAAAGAGAAAGACGAGAGACTTCAGTAAGAGAGAGACGAGAGGCTTAAGAGAGAGAAAGACGTGAGACTTAAGAGAGAGCCGAGAGGCTATAAGAGAGAGACGAGAAGCTATAAGAGAGAGACGAGAGGAAATAAGAAAGAAACGACAGACAATAAAACAGGGATGAGAGGCTATAAAAAAGAAACGAGTGGCAATAAGAGGAAGAGGAGAGGCAATAAAAAAGAGAGATGAGAAACGATAAGAGAGAGACGGGAGGCAATAAGAGAGAAAAGGGAGGTTATAAGAAAGAAACGAGTGGCAATAAGAGGAAGATCAGAGGAATAAAAGAGACGAGAAACAATAAGAGAGAGACGAGAGGCAATAAGTGAGAGATGAGAGGCAATGAGAGAGACGAGAGGCAATAAGAGAGACGAGAGGCAATAAGAGAGACGAGAGGCAATAAGAGAGACGAGAGACAATAACAGAGACGAGAGACAATAAGAGAGAGATAGACGAGAGGTAATAAGATAGAGACGAGAGGCAAGAAGAGAAAGACGAAAGCCAATAAGAGAGAGAAATGAGAGGTAATAAGAGAGACGAGAGGCAATAGGAGAGAGACGAGAGGCAATAGGAGAGAGACGAGAGGCAATAGGAGAAAGACGAGAGGCAATAGGAGAGAGACGAGAGGCAATAGGAGAAAGACGAGAGGCAATAGGAGAGAGACGAGAGGCAATAGCAAAGAGTCGAGGGCCAATGGGAGAGAGACAAGAGGCAATAAAAGGGGGGCGAAAAGCAATAAGTAAGACGAGAGGCAATGAGAAAGACGATTGGCAATAACAGAAACGATAGGCAATAAGAGAGACGATCCGCAATAAAAGAGACGAGAGGCAATAAGAGAGACGAGAGGCAATAATAAGAAAGCCGACAGGCAGTAAGACGAGACAAGAGACATATAGGAGAGGGAAATGGACGAAAAGCAATAAGAGGGGGACGAGAGGCAACAAGGGAGAGATAAGAGGCAATAAAAGAGAGACGAAAGGCAACAAATGACAAAGACGGGAGGCAATAAGAGAGACGAGAGGCAATAAAAGAGAGACAAGAGACAATAAGACACACGAGAGGCAATAAGAGAGACGATAGGCAATAAGGGAGACGTGAGGCAATAAGAGGAAGAGGAGCGGTAATAAAAGAGAGAGACAAAAAATAATAAGAGAGTGACGGGAGGCAATAAGAGTGAGACGAGAGGTAATAAGACGCGAGGCAATAAGAGAGACGAGAGGCAATAATAAGACAGCCGACAGGCAGTAAGAGTGAGACGAGAGGCAATATGAGACAGAGACAAGAGGCAATAAAAGAGAGAGAGGCGAGAGGCAATAGGAGCGAAACGAGAGACAATAGCAAAGAGTCGAGAGGCAATGGGAGAGGGATAGGAGGCAATAAAAGAAACACGAAAGGCATTAAGTGACAGAGACATGAGGCAATAAGAGGGAGACGACAGGCAGTAAGAGAGAGCCGGGAGACAATAAGAGAGACGAGAAGCAATAAGAGAGACGAGAAGCAATAAGAGAGACGAGAAGCAATAAGAGAGACGAGAAGCAATGAGAGAGACGAGAGGCACTAAGAGAGACGAGAGGCAATAAGAGAGACGAAACGCAAAAATAGAAACGATAGGCAATATGAGCGACGAGAGGCAATAAGAGAGACGTGAGGCAACAATAAGAGAGCCGACAGGCAGTAAGATGGAGACAAGAGACAATATGAGAGGAAAAGGGGCGAAAGGCAATAAAAGGGGGACGAGAGGCAATAAGAGAGAGACGAGAAGCAATAATACAGAAAAGAGAGTCAATAAGAGAGAGATAGAGAGAGACCAGATGCAATAGGAGAGATACGAGAGGCAATAATAGCAAAGAGTCGAGAGGCAATCGGAGAGAGACAAGATGCAATAAAAGGAAGACAAAAGCCAACAAGTGAAAGAGACGAGAGGCAATAAGAGAGAGGCGAGAGGCAGTAAGAGAGATGAGAGACAATAAGAGAAAGACGAGACGCAATAAGAGAAAAAAAGAGAGATGAAGCAAAAATGAGAAAGACAGAGAGAAGGGAATAAGAGAAAAATAGGCGTAGGGGAGAAGAAAAGAGACAGCTGAGAGGGGGAGAAAAAGACACAAAGAGACACAGAGAGGACAAAAGCTGACATAAAAAAAACAAAAAAGACGACAAAGAAGTTAACAAAAAACGACAGCAGAGAAAACAAAGCGATAAAAGGCAATAAAAAGGAACCAAAACAGGGGCAAAAAGGGACCAAAAAAGTGACAAACAAAAAGAAAAAGGGTACCTAACCCGCAAAAAAACATAAAAAGACTACGATAAAAGGGCACAAAACATATGACAAGCCAAAAAGTGACAAAAGAAGGCGACAAAAAAAATCGACAACCAAGGGCGCTAAAAAATAAGACAACAAAAAAAGGCCATAAAAAAGGTACCCGCAAAAAAAATGGAATAAAAAAAGGGATCCAACAGAAGTGGAAAAAATGGGGGCCAGAAAAAGCGACAAACAAATTCGACATAAAAATGGTAAAAAAAGCCACCAAAAAAAAATTGGTCTCAAATTAACTAGACAAAGTTTCGCTCGCCCTGAAGTACAAAAATGATAAAATTTAATTTTCCGAATCTTTTTTAAACTCCGGTTAGTTAAACTAAAGAGATGTATGTATTGTTAAAGTACACGTAAAGAAGCATGCTATGTGTGCGTATGTTTCAATAATAATATTCCATAAAGAAATATTTTCTGACGTTATCAACATTTTAGCCAGTATACGCAAATTTTTTGGAAAAATAAGACGAGCCATTCTTGATGTAATCAATAAAACAGACTGTCTCATTCATTATTTTTTTGAGTCACCATGTATAAGTAATTCTAAAAACTACGAAAGTACCGATAAACCAAAAGTGTAGAGCAATGATCTCACAATATTTTGCAAATTTTAGATAGAATTATTTAGGCAAAATTTTGATGTGACATTATAAATTTTTTGGGAGAGGGTAAACGGCTATATTCAATCTAGGGTAAAAACTCAACACGGATGCATAAACCACAAGTTAAGGGACATTTTATAAAATTCAAATAAAATTTATTGTTGTAAATTTTGGAAACGTCATCTCTTGGTTGGTGGAGATGAATAACCAAATTTTGGTTAGCATTTTACCATCCACACGATAACATACTTGTAAAATAGTTGCACAAAATTACATACATGCAATCATCCTGATAATGAAACTACAATTAACTAACATTCTACTCTTAAATAATGGTCGTTGAAAGTCATAATACTACAATAAAGTTTCTTCGTTATGTGTACGATAACGCTAACATTCTTTTAATAATACTCGAAGTAAAGAAAAACGCCAATATTTGTAAAAAATCTATTGTTGTAATTACACGTTTAACCGAAAAACACAGATAAGAGCTCTATAAAAGCCAGTTTTCCAATTCTAAAGACATCAGTTTCTGAATTTATCAACAACATGCAGTCCGTAGTACGGTTCCTTGTTATTCTCGCAATTTTTGGTGAGTTCAAACTATTGTTTACCACTGACATCGAATTCACTGCCTTTTAACACCGCATTTATAAACGGTGCAGAAATAGAGTTGAAATTTCAGTTGTAAAAGTTAGGTTTGTCATTTTTGCTTCCGAGGAGTATTATACTGGCACAAGAGATATAGTGGTTTCATGATTTTGACTTTTGCAAGTCGCTCGTCTGTGAATAAAGAGAATCTTAAATTAATACCGCTGAAGATAAGTCGGTTCTGCCTACAAGAAGCATGCCAGGCAAACAAAGAAACAGCCTCTATTTAAGTTTGCTATAATGTCATAAATTTGCATCTAATCAGCTGCACTATTTGTTGACAAATGTAGTTAAGGAAACCGCTATGTCTCTTGGGCCAGTCTACAATATATGGACGAAGAAGGAAATGTAACGGACATTTTTTTCAGCTACTATTATGATGCCCGACGTAACGAATGGAAAACCACAGAGTGCTATACCGCCAATTAATACGGATCTTCAGGTGGACACAGATTTAATCGATACTGTGTCTGAGACTCTATCAAAATTAGTTCCGTTGTAGACACTCTGTAAACATGTATGAATTAATTGATAAATATTAATACATTTGGTCCAAATTTCTCTTTTCTTGAAATATTTCCTAATCCTGAATTTCTCTAATATCGTTAGATTGCGAATTTAAAAAAAATGGTCGAAGTTTAAAAAATAAAATAAAAAAGTGTCATACCATTTCCCGACAAGGAAACAATTTTTAGATTTAGAATTTCCATCATGGAAAATAAGGTTCGTATGAAATAAAGCTAGTGTAAAATCAAGTACAAACTTTGAAATGCAATATTAATTTTCATATAAAAAAAATTAGTCGAAGATTACTTCGGAAGAACTTCCCTCGCCCACAAAGTACATAAGCTAAAAGGAAAATATGTATCTAATGTTTGAGTAAACGTAAAAAAACGTGCTAACCGTCTGTTCCAAGTGAGTTTTTCTATTACAAAATTGTGTGTTGATGTCATCCACATTTTTGCAAGGACGCATATATCAGTTTGGATAGATGCATTGTAGTGCTAATAATAAAAGTATTGTATTATTATTATTCTTGAATAGTGATTTATATTTAATAAAACAACGAAACAATTTAATCACGTCTGCCGTATGTAATAACAGAGGTGCGACTGAAGAATGAACTGAAAATCATGTATGGTACTCGTACTTTAAGACAAATCGCGATAACACCTATTAACCTGTAAACGTGAGAGTGAAACAGAAACTAAACTAAAAGATGTTTTCTACGGATTGCAATAACCGGATCACAATGCCGAAGGTCCAGACTTTTTTATTGCTGTGACTTCCGTTTATTGAATAAAACACTACATTTTATTTTGATTTTCGATGTCCTAATTGACTTTTGGTTAATTATAACTTGTCTAGATTTAGGGGAGGCTCAGCATCCTATAGCCTCCCCCTAGCTACGGCCTTTTCTACGGGTTACGAAATATCGAGAAAATATGAAAGTACCAAATTTCCCGATGGACTCCATTACTGTACTTCCTTAGATTATCCTCGATAAGAAAAACAACTTGAAAGTGTTTATGTTTATACATCGAAAGAATGTCACGTAGAAATTAGTTTGATTTGAATGAGTTCTTCCCCTCAAAACAGAAGATCAAAACTATTAAGTAGTAAGCTACATTCAACAAAATATTCTAAATATCATTATTATTATCCTTATTAAATAAACAGATTTATTTTGTTTAACAATTTCCATGCTTACAATGACTAAAACGTCTGCAAGATTTCAAAATATTCCGTTTTGCAATTCTTGATTTATTCAACAAAATACAGAACGAACAATCAAAAATAATACGTGGAAAACATTAAAAGAAAACAGCATGAGAGGAAAAAGGTTAAGAACAGGTGGGACGAAAAATCTTTAGTGAGTAAAAAAATAATTCAAGTATAAAAGAGAAGAAAATGAAATGCAAATAAAGATAGAAAGAGACAAACTCATGAAGCAAGGCACTTGTGAGAAGAAAAAAAAAACAAATGACAAAAAGAAACATCGGCACCAACACAGACTAAACTGTGGAAAAAAGAGAATTTAGAGGAAAAAAGAAGTTGGACCGTAACAGGGAGAATAAGGGAGGGAAAATACAAAGGAACAAGAATGAAGGAAGAAAGGAGCATAGCGACAGATATAAATCTAAAAAAAATATGTAGATAGACATACGGAAGACAAAGACTGGCTTATGAAAAAATCAAGTGAAAAGAAAAAAGAGGGGAGGGTACAAGAGTAGAAAGACGAGGAAAAGAGAGAAGAGAAAAACACAGAAGGGGAGGGTGTAGAAGAAGAGGGCGAGAGAAGGGGACAAGGGAAGAAGGATGAGAAGGGGGAGGCGATGAAGAGAATGGGGGAAACAGAGGCAAGAAGAGGGAGAAGATGAGCGAGAGAAAAAAAAAAGAAAAAGGAAAAGAGAAAGGAAAAGTAAAAAGAAAAGAAGAAAAAGCAAATAAAGAGAAGAGGCAAAAAAGAGAAAGAAAGAAAAGTGAGAGAATAGGGAAGAGTTGGAGAAGAGGGAAGAGTGAGAGAATAGGGAAGAGTGAGAGGAGAGAGAAGAGTGAGAGAAGAGAGACAAGAGAGAGATAAGAGAGGCAGAAGAGAGAAGAGAGAGATAAGAGAGATAGAAAAGAGAAGAGAGAGAAAAGATATATATGAAAGGGAGAGGAGGAGAGGAGAGGGAGAGGAGGAGAGGAGAGGGAGAGGAGGAGAGGAGAGGGAGAGGAGGAGAGGAGAGGGAGAAGAGGAGAGGAGAGGAGAGGGAAAGGAGGAAAGGAGAGGGAGAGGAGGAGAGGAGAGGGAGAGGAGGAGAGGAGAGGGAGAGGAGGAGAGGAGAAGGAGAGGATGAGAGAAGAGAAAGAGAAGAGAGATATTAGAGAGAGAAAAAAGCGAAGAGAGGGAGAAGAGATGGAGGAGGGAAAGAAAACTAAGAGAGAAAAGAGAATAACGAGAGAAGAGAGAAGAGAGAAAAAGAAGAGCGAAAAGAGAAAAGAGAGAAAGAAAAGAGAGAGTAGAGAGAGAGAGAAGAG